ATATATATATATATATACATAAATTAAAAAGTCCTTCCGAAGCGGGCGACGGGATTTCGATTCCGGCTGCCGACAGCTTCTTACGGGCGACCCCCCCAAACAATCTCTTCCTTTTTCTTTTTTGTGCCGACATGCGTAGAATTTTGAAATAGGTTTTTTGTTTGTATTGTACTATTTCCCATGACATTGGATTGAATTTGAATTTGGGGCCTTAGCTGGTTTAGTGTGAAGGACATTTTATTTTACATACACATTGATTAATGTTTTTAGATTTTATAGGCCTTTATATTTTTTTAACAATATTTATAGTATTTTGGGGATATTTCTCCTATTATCTTTTTCATGTTATAAGGGACATTGTGGATTGCATTTATTTTTAGAGAGAGTTAGAAGTTGATAACCTTGGTAACGTGAAAATTATGGTAGAACTCAGGATGGGAATCCTTAGAGGGTTCGTTGTGTTAGTAGATTGGAATTTCCTCTGACTGAGATTTTATGTCAATATGGCCATCATCCGAGAGGCATAGTAGGAGTTTTTGAAGGAGCATTTTATTGATGGTTGATAGGGGGATTTAATTTATGCAAGTAGGTTTGATATTTTGATTAAGTATCATCCAATTTTTTGCTGCTGTGCCTAGGCTATTCAGCCTTTAAAGGAATATTCATTTTCCTTGAATTTTGAAGGTTTTTTCTGCAAAGAGGTGGTAGAACCTTGACTTGGTTCATAGAGTTCAACCAGTTTTTTCTACCTGACCATTTTTTGCTTCACTAGATGAAGTAATTGCCAACAATTTGGTCTTCTTTTGCCTTTTTGATTTAATCCTCATATGTATTTGCTTGTAGACTCGTGATGTAGCCATTTCATTCCTTTACTTAGATTGGCTAGAGTGTTACAGTCTGCATGTTATTTCTTTCTTGTTACATAGAATCTTTTGATGTGCTAGGAGATAGACTAAGCTGGATATCAATGCTGAGCATCATGGGAACTAACAAGGCATATACTTTGGAGACTTTATACAATGGAGCTTGTAGAGTACAATATATGATTGCATAAATTTTTGTATTTTTGAGTAATATTATGTCTGTTTATGATTGATATATGTTTGCATCTATTATATGGGAATGACCAAGTATGATTTATTTATTTTTTTATTATAGGTGGGAGGTGTGTATTAGTCAATTGGTTTCTTATGGATGGGCTGCCAATTGTCATTGTGACTCACCGGAGATTTGTTAGATTTAATTTACTGCAATGTCATATTGATTGGCAGGGTGATCTTTTGGGAATAGCTGCGATCATTTTGATTTTAAAAAAGCAAATATTACTTAAAATTTTCAATTTGAATGGGTGAATCGTTAGGAATACATTGTTGAGATCAGTTAATCTTCATGGGAAAGGCTTTTTTCCACAGCGAGATTTGCTAGAGATTAGATCTTAGCTTCAAGCCTTTGGTAGAATTAGTTAGGGGGCACAACATTTGAGTAGTTTGCTGGTTGTCATGGTTACTCTCTAAGGGCTTTGAGTAGTGTTCTTTTAAATTTATTATATGTAGGATTTGCAGTATATTCCATGGAGGACAAATTAGTTTTACTTGAGTGGAAGCAACCCTAAAATCAATTAGTATATCGAAATGGAGACCCGTTGGGGATGAACGTGACTTGATTAGTGGATCGGTGGACGGTGGACCATTCTACTAACAATCAACATAATTTGATTAGCCAATGAAGTAGCATTTAGAGAGTGCATTAATTTGCCTTTCATGATTAACTTATGGGCCCTCAACAAGTTGGTTGGGAAGATTGGCATTATAGGTGAGCTAAGGCTCTACTTGAGAGGTGTGATTTGAAATTGTAAGGTATTTGGGGAGCATTTTAGCATGAAATCATAGCTAATTTTTGTTTTAGAGGTATTGAAGGGGCTGATATATTTTTATTTAAAATTCATTTGTTGGTTGGGTGATATCGGAGTTAACCCAAATGACAATGGAAATGCAATATTTATTACGGAGAGCAAATAGAGATTACAATCAAACAGTTAGAATTAGGAAATAACAAAAATACACAACACGAACTCAACTAGGGCTTAGGTCAATGGTGGTGGTATTGTGGTTTAAGGATAAACAGTAAGTATAGAGGGCTGGATGATTGAGAGGCAACAAGGCAGTGGCCACAACAAGGATGGAGAAAACCGCATCAAGGGAGGCGATGGGTGGAAACAAGGTTGTGGGATGGTAATTGCAACAAGAAGGTTGCATTAGGGTGACAGGAGGATTGTGGGAGGTTTACAGCGGTAAGGACGGTAACTGGAAGGGATGGAGGCAAATGGGAGGTGGCTGGAAAGGATGGCGACTGCAGGAAAACAGCAAAGAGGCTGGCTTTCCGGGTGGTGGCAGCAAATATGGCGACGACGACAATGTAGAGGAGGTTGTGGGATGCAGGGAACGATAGATAAACATCACCTCAGGATGAGTTATAGCTGGAGCAATTTCTCGTATTTGGGTGCAGCCCTAAGAGGGAGAATTGGAGATGCTGACCGCTGTCTCGACAAAAGACATAACAAAAGTTGAAAAACTAAGACAAATGAAGCATATTTATATGCCCTACATGACTAGGATTGAATCCCCCTGTGGAAAGGAGGTCGGAAACTATGGTGGATGGACCAATTGGTCTTCCCAGGTTCGGACCGATTCTGTCCAGACAAAGGAAGCACAGGATATTTCCCACGGCTCGCTTTTACGATCACGTCATTGGTGTGTTGACATATATTGTGGGGTGCATATTATATGTCAACCTCATTATGGAGAAGAAAAGGGATCAGATTGGGATGATATTTTAGCCTTGTTACAGGGAGATAGTTTTGATTCAGGTTCATTTGATATGTTGGAGTGTTTTTTGGTGTGGGATTGTAATTTAGATTAACTTTGACTTGGACTTCATTGCTGAGGAACCGGGGGCAATAAATTTTGGATTATTTGTCATGGCTGTATATTTTGCACAGGAGAGAAGAGATCTTGTTGGAGTGTTAATTTATCCTCATCCAAGAAGGGTTGTTTAACCTTATCTTAGTTGAGGTGGAAGCTAGGATAATTTTGAAATATCTTAAGAGTGGTAGGACATTTTGGGTTGCTATTCGTTGTAAGGGCAACAAGAAATTTTTTTTGTGAATTTTGTCTAGTCTAACAGATAATATTTTATTACAAATACTCTGTTTGAAATGAAATCTTGTTATGAATGATTAGATTGGGATGCTAATTTAGCATTAATCTGGAGGTGCAAAGGGTGGTATCATTGGGGTATTCAACCATGTTAACATCATTGCAGGAAAGGCGAGGGATGTTGTTGGTGTGATAGTTTAGCCTCATCTGAAGGGATTACTTAATTTCATTTTAAGATTGGGGGCAAGAATTTAAGAATATTTGGCTTATTATAGGGATTGTCAATTGTGTTGATCAGGTGCGGGGTAAGCAAGAGATTTAATTTGGGTGATAGTGTAGCTTCATATTGAAGGAGTAAATTTTCGAGTATTTATCGTCATTTTGAATAGTCAGTTGTGTCAACCTTTTTATTGGAGAGATGGGGGATCTAATTGGGATGTTAGTTTAGCCTCATCGTAGAGAAATGGTGACGCTGGAGCTGTTCATGCCCTCAAGACTGTGAAAAGAATTCTTGCAATGTAGGATTCCACATATCACGGAATCAACTATACCAAGATCGTGGGCTTTTTGTTTTATTTTATCATATTTTTTTTTCTTCTTGATTTATTTCCTATTTCTTTCTTTCTAATTAGGTTATTTTTTATTGGGAATCTATTTATATGCTATTTTTTCTTTTTTGGAGAACTTAGCTATGTTCTAGTGTTTTTAGAGATTTTATTATCTGATTTCTACTCTAAGGAGTGTTGTTTCATCTTCTTTTTGCGAGTGATGTGTCTGTATTTTGTTTAGGAATAAGTGGTGAGTTCTTGCCATCCATACGTTGTTGTTTTAGAGTTCTTTTTGTTGTTTTTAGTGGAGCAACTGCCGAATGAAGCCTATTCCTGTCCAAATGTTGTTAAACGCCCATATTCCCCTTTACTTGCCATCCCACAACCATCTCTCTGCTAAAACTGCTTCCTAAAAACCTTTTAAGAGCCCTAGAATGGTGTCATTAGAAATTCTGGCTTGACAAACTCTAAAATTTCAGACATTTATATTTTCTTACTCCCAAACAAAAAAAAAATCCATGCAACCATTGACCAATAACAAAATTCTTGCCCCATACCTTCTAACCATTCATATTGCAATTCCTAGTTTTCATTCTAAACTATAATTTGACATTCAACCCAAAATTGGAGAAAAGGACGCCATGCCGTCAAGAAGAAATCCACAAGAAGGTATCCAGGAGCTTGCAATGGATGATACACAATAGGAAATTCTCTAAATGCAACAAAGAGCTGTTTCCTTTTAGAGGAGATAACTCAGGTAGGTCACTTATAACCACAATGGTGACTCCGAAATCGAGAGAAAGAAGTATATCCCTTCCATTATGAAATTTTTAGTGTAGAAGAACCAATACACAGATGATTTGGTATGTAAAATCAAATGAAAAGTTAGGATTTTGAAGTGAAGATTGGTTTACAAGATTTTGACTGTCGCACAGATTCAAAGGATTTCATTGAGTGGTTCCGGACAATGGAGTGGGTCTTTGGGTGCAAGGATGTTTGAAATGACAGGAGGGTAAAATTAGACGCCATTTAGCTAAATAAAATGTCTCTTTGGTGGAAAATATGACATTCAATAGGTCGCAATGGAGAAAAAGGATTCATATATCTGACCCCACTTAGTGGGATAAGACTTGTTGTTGGTGGAAAATTTGAAGTGCCTATGCCAACATAAGGTTAAAAACAAAATCACTATTGGGAGTACACAAGATGAAAATGTAGATGCAACACAAGTACTTACCTGCACATTAAAGGCAAGATGTCCTTGAGACTCTATTCTTTACAACAGAAAGATTTCTCTGTTAAGGAGTACGTAATTGAGTTCGAGCAGCTTATGTTGAAATTTGAGCTTGAGGAGTCTGAGGAGAACAATGTAGCTCAATATCTGGGGGTATTGAGATTTGTCAATTGACAATATGGTAATGTTACAACCTTATTTGACATGACAAGATATACAGTGCCTAGCCATGAAGGGGGAGAGACAACGCGATAGTATCACGTCCATTCCACCCTTCAAACAGGGCTTAACCATCAGATCAAGCAACAATAGTACATACACCCAATAGAGCACTTAGACTAACCCCATCAAAGAAGAAACTAATCCGGATTGGAGAAAATGTAGAGATTGCCAACACTCCCATATCCGTTACAACGAGAAAGTGCTTCAAGTGGCACGATTTTTAGCATATTACATTTGATTGTCCAAAATAGGATGATTATCTCTTTCATTGAACAAGACACTGACATTAGATATATAGAAAAAGATAAAAAAGTAAAAGAGGAATACCGACTTTAAACCAACAGGGGAGAGATAACCACTATTGTCGAGCCCAAACATTGAATGTGAAAAGTAGCGGGTTGTGTTAGGTAGTCGACAACTATTATAAAATTTTTATCAAAAAATCATGACATGAATTCTTTAAATTCTTGTTCAAATGTTAGGGCGTCTCGATGAGCTGTATGGTCTGGATACAGTGAAAAGTGTGCAAGTGCTGCTGCATCAGCGTCCGGGTGTAGTGTCAAATAAGAAAGAGTTCCCATGTTACGAGCGGATGCAGATAAAAAAGTTAGTCCATGAAACTTATATTATGATAGAATTGTGTGTTATAGATACTCTCACAGGTAAATTAATAGAATTATTAGATATTATAGTTTGTAAATATCTTATATATTCAAGAAATTAAATGAGTTGGAGAAAACACAAAAGAGATTGATAGCTTAGGTTTTTAACGGGTATTCGAGTAGGAATCACACTTGAAATAGTGTAGGGGTAATTATAGATAAGATTTTGAAAATTAACGTTGTAAAAATTAATAGAATTGGGATATAATTATAACTCTAATGATTGTTGTTGATACTAAGATTTTTAATGTTATAAGCGGTTATGCTCCTTAAGTAAGTTTAGATATATGTTTATGAGAAAAAAGAGATAGTTAGGAATGTGAAGATTGTGAAATCATTTCAAGTAAAAATTTTAATACTCAATGTCGATTATTTGTTCGTCATTTTAAGATGAGGAGTTGTAAGATAAATAATATAATTAAGCATTGTCATAGAATTAGATGGGAGACCTAAAAAACACATTATTTTAATGTCGATTATTTGTTCGTCATTTTAAGATGAGGAGTTGTAAGATAAATAATATAATTAAGCATTGTCATAGAATTAGATGGGAGACCTAAAAAACACATTATTTTTATGATTAAACTTTGAAATTTCAAGATTTGTGATGTTCATGAAGAAGTTAATTCTATGTGGGATAAAGTAACAAACACTAGTAAACAAGTGACAAATGATGTACTTGAAGAATCAAAAAGAAAAAGTTTTTATAAATAATAATAGTTAGTGTCCGAATAATTTGCAAGAAAAAATAACGTACGAGAAGTTTTATAAAAATTAGCTTAAATGTAAAAGCTTAGAGAACTGAAAAAATATAAGGTAACATGTAGAAAGTCTAAGAGAAGAATTTGTGATGCTAAAAATTTTATTTTTAGTGATCTTTATAATATATTAGATATTAAAGATATTGAAAAATATAGGTATAAACTAGTTGAATAAAAAATAAAACTAAAGATTTGATTCAAGTAAAGTGTATTAATGTGAAAATAAAAAAAGTGTTTTTTTTAGAGGAAAATATTCAACATAGATTGGTGTGCTATTTTGATAAACTTTTCAGCGAAGTTTCTAAAAATACAATCAACCTTAATGATCTTCATATTTTTAATAATAGTAAATCATTTTATTTTTATCGTCGAAAACCAAGGATGGAAAATTAATAGGACTGATGATATCCCAATTTTGTGGAAATGTTAAGATTTGGGAGTTTCTTGTCTTACTAAACTCTTTAATATTATTTTAAAAACTAAAAAGATGCTTGAGGAATGGATGAAGAGTCTTTTGGTCCCCTTTTTTAATTATAAAGGGATGCACAAGAGTGTGCAAATTATAGAGGAATTAAGTTGATGTATCATACTTTAAAATTATGGAAGAGGGTACTGGAACTTAGGTTAAGAAGTGATGCAAAGATTTTTCATAATCAATTTGGATTTATATTGGGTAGGTCTAATATGGAAGCTATACATTTATTGAGAGGTTTAATGGATAAGTACAAAGAGAGTAAGGAGGATCTACAGATGATTTTTATTTATTTAGAAAAAGCTTACGATAAGGTTCCAAGAGAAATCCTTTAACTAGAGTTCTAAAGAAGAAAAGTGTTGATATGACTTGTATTCAATTCATTAAAGATATGTATACTGGAGTTGTTACTTGTGTTAAAGCAGAAGGAGAATTGACCAAGTATTTTCTATTTCAGGTTGATTACATCAGACTCGTATCTTTTTTGCTTTAGTTATGGACTCTTTTACCAGACATTTACTGGAGGGTGTACCTTAGTGTATGCTTTTCGCTGATAATTTCCTTCTTGCGGATAAGACTAAAGAAAGAGTTCATGAAAACTTGAATTATGGAGGGCTACATTGGAGTCCAAAGGTCTTCGTTCGAGTAAATCGAGTAAATCTAAAACCGAATACATGGAGTGTAATTTTCGTAGTAGTAGCTCTAGTGACAGAGTTGTAACTAAGGAGAATCAAATTATTAAAAGGTGTGATCGTTTTAGATATCTCAGATCTATTGTTCAGAGTGATTGTGATGTAGATGGGGTTTTTATTAGTAGAATTGAAGTTGGTTGGTTGAAGTGGAGGAAGGCATCGGGCCTATTGTGTGATAGACTATTGTGTGATAGAAAAGTACCAAGTACCACTTTGAATTAGAAACAAAAATTTATAAGATGGCGAGACCTGCAATGCTATTTGTCCTAGAATGTTAAGAGAAGAATAAAATGAAGTTAAGTGTTGCTGAGATGAGAATGTTTAGGTGGATGAGTGGCTAATGCATGGTAGGGTTGGTGTAGCTCCAGTGACAGACAAGATTTGAGAGAGTCGTCTTAAATGGTTATTTCACATTAAACGTTGACCAACATATGATCTGGTGAATGGAGTAGATGTTTTATATTCGACTTATGTTAAGAAAGATAGAGGTAGATTTAAAAAGTCTTGGGCATATTGTATAAAAAATGATCTTAATCTATTATAATTAAATGAAGATAGGACGTAACGGAGAAAAAGAATTCATGTAGTAGGCCCCACTTAATGGGATAAAAGGCTTGTTGTTGCTCTTGTTGTTGTTGTTGTTAGGATTGGTGAGTGAAGACTAATTGTTGGAGCAAAGGGAGCTTAATGATAAAGACAACTTGTTTGTTGGCCCCGTTTGGTGATTTTTTGGGAGACTAATTATGGGGAAGCAAAGGGGCTTTTTGATGAATGTAACAACTTTGTTATGGTCTTTTTGTTGAAGATGATGCAAGTATTTCAAGTAGGGAAAATATTATTTTATGTATTTTTGTGGAGTTAAGGATTAAGTGATTTGTTACAGAGAATGGCCTTAGAAGGTTTTGTGGGCTTGAGTGATGTGTGGGAAGTCTCAAGCTAAGTTGCGAGTTGGAGATAGTGGGTTAATAGGTGGTTGAGAACTATGACAATGGGAGAAGGGAGAAGTCGGGAGATGGGAGAAAAGACAATCAAGGAGATAAGCATGACTCACCAACATTTAAGCGGGGATCATTCACTAAGTTTCACCTCAATTGTACAGTAGCATAAATAAATAATATTATCATTCAATGATAATTACGAGTACACACCATGGGTAATATATAGTGCTCATCCAATTCTCTATCTGACCCAATAATTGATCACATGGATTGGTGACATATAACTAAAGAGAGAAAGGGACTAAGCAAAAATAATAATACAATATTAGTTTCCCGAAGAATAAAATGCAACCAAGCTCTTTTGAAATTGGAATGGTTGTTATCTTCATTCAATCTTCTTCCTTTTATTAAGTAGTCAGCTTTAAAAATCTTGGATTTGGTTTTTTTTTTCAATTGATTACAATCACATAATTCTTGCCATCAATGGAGGAGGGTCTATCAATGGTCCATGTTTTGAAATTACTAAAGTTATTGATGATCCGTCAACTTGATGTAGCGCCTTAGATTGAGATTTGGTCACCATTCTATGAACTTTGTTTGGTTTTGCATCTTTAGCAAACAATTTACTCATATAATTTTTTTTAATAATTATCGAGTGAAATTTTGGCCTAAAAATTTTATGGTCGGTGGAGTTAAAGGGCGAAGTTACCATAAAAAAACTCACAATTTTTTAGCTTGTAGAATTTTCTAAAATTTCTACAAATACATTGGCAATTCATCAGTTTTGGAAAATTCAGAAAATTTGAATTTTGAGAATGCTAAATTTTGAGTTGTGATTTTTATGGTTAGCAGACCTCATTGAAGCATTGTGTATAGTCAAATTTCATAATCTTGTATTTATTTAGAATATTTGGTGAATTTCAAGGGTTGCTATGCATATTAGCGATTTTTATCAAGCTTTTTATGAACATATGACTTGGTTCCTTTGTCTGTGTAGCTGCATGGGATACGGTTAAGTCATATGATGAATGTGCTTCTAGGATTTTTTCATTTAGAGTATATTACCCACATTGGCTCCTCCCTTTAAAGCCTTAATAATTTAATCCATAAGACTTTAATTTAACTGCTCATAGGCTGATATTTTTCAGGTTTAAAAATGTGTGAGTACCGAATTTGAGATTGATTTTGATATGGCTTTGATTTGGGATTGACTGATTAACCATTTGTTTTGTTTTGCCGATTGCTTAATTTAAGGCCGGATGATGATGGTGGAGTGTAAACTTGAGTTTGAGTACAATGTTATCATGTTAAGTCCATTAATCGTTCTTCAAGTCTATTTTCTATTGTAGGAATGAGTTAGAAATGCTTTGGTTCGAATTTCACTGATTCCATTGTCCACAAAAACTTCTAAGCCATTGGTTTTTGTAGTATTTCCTCCTATGTCATAAGCGAAGTTCATATTTATTTGGAAAGGCTCATACTGTAGTCTAACAGGTAATATTTTTTGTTCCATATTTTTACTTCGTTATTTTATTTTTTGTAGTTAGCAGCATACTTTGCTCAATTTTCTCCCCATTAGTTTTGACAAAAAATTGGCTGCATTTCAACTTAGAGAGATCTAATTTCTCCCAAATTTGGCATGGTGTCACTTTGGCCTTAGAAAAAGAGAGCTTACGCTCAGCATGTCAAAAACGGCCAGAAAAGATGTGGTTGGCATCGAGGCAGTTGCACAAGATTGGTAACCGCCTGTCAGATAACCATGCTATTAGGAAGTGGGTTAGTGCTGATGTAAAATATGGACTTTTCTAACTATACTACTCCCATGACATAATGTTCTCTCTGGACCATATGGCTCGAGAGATAATATTCGTGTGATCAAATTGAGTGAAATGTTGGCTTGAAATTTTTATGGTGGATAGAGTTTGCAGTACTTTCATGTGCACTTATTCATTTATTTCTCTTAAACGTAAATTCAAATTTTTTATGCTGATGAATTCAGATAAAACTTGCAAATGTAGCATCATCATTATCATTAACTTTATCCAATTATTTATGGTTGGCTTTATGAATGTCTTATATCCATTTAATTATGTCGGGTACTTTATATGGTGTATATTCATTTTTGCATGTCTTTTTGAAAAAAAAATTAACCTTTTTTTCCACCCTTTTTTTCTTCTTAATATTTTCACACATTATTTATTTAATTTATAATGCATCTGTTTCGCTCCAGCACGCATAAACTTAGTTTTCACAATCTCTTCTCAATATTTGTTACTCTAAACCATTCTTTGATATTTCTATTAGTTCTAGCACATCCTTCACAATAGTTATAATTTTTTTCTTCATCAAATTTATATGTTAGTGTCTTCTTTAATTTCATAAAATCAGGTTGCTATGAAGCAAGTTAGTCTAAATGTAGTTTCAAATATTTATGCTTAAATCCCTATGATATTATCTAACCACAATGTGCTCTTAAGGCATATCTATTTTAATGATTATACTTCATGTCACGACCCAACTCGGGGGTTTGGAATTTTCAAGGCGAAAATCAAATTTAATTACTAATTATAAATCCAAACTAAAGAAAAAGTTGCTAATGACTTAAAATTAAAATAGATAAAGAATGAATTTACCTTTCTGTTTTTTGGCATCACCTTTTGTACATATTTTCTTCTCTATCACTAATCTGTAAACAAAATTCTAAACTTGAAAATATTAATTTAAAACACAATAAGCTAACAACATTCAGTTACTACAATACATTTAAACTACAATAACATAAAAATAAAAAAAAATCAATATGTATGTTAGTCAAACATACAATAAATCAGTATAAAACATTTTACAGTTTGTATTTCAAATATGATTGTTTAAGAGAGTTCAAAACGTTTGTTATGCTATACTATATCATTTTACATATATAACTTATCTTACAATTAATTATGGTCTTTTAATTTTTTTTGTTAAAATCTTTCATTTTAAGTATCCATATCATCTTAATTTGATTATCAAAATTACAACTTTAATCAATATATATGATTTGCATTAAATTTTATTCTAGATTCAATTAATTTCTACATTAATTTAGATAGTTTCTTGTAAACTTTAATTTCATATTTCAAATAAATCTTTCGTTTTTTCCAATTTTGCTCTTAACTTAATACTATTATTATTAGTATTATTTTATAACTTATAATTTAAACTTAAACAAATTAAAAGAAGAGAAGAAAAATTTGCCTTTGTGTGCTCTGAAATCGTAAGCAATTCACATGCTTATTACTCCAGTGTTGCTCGACTCATCTGCTTCTTCCCCTGGAGAACCTTTCTTGGCACACAAATCACACACACGAGTTGCTCGTCAACGTCGTCATCTTTGGCTTTGATCAATGACGTCCCCTCTTGCACTGCTTGTCCGGTAATTGTGAATCTATTGTCGCAAGGAATTTACAAATATGTTTCTTGTTTTGTAGATCCTTATAGATCCGTTATTCTTATCCCAATAATGATAATTAGGATCATTGTTTTACTATCTCTATACCAAATTCCTTTATTATTATAACTTTTTTACTTTGGAGAATTTTTTTTTCATCCTTAAAAATGCCATTTAGGAATGTTTTATTCTATGAAGTCTCAGTTTGAATGTTTTTGTGAACAACTATGTGGTCAATTCAAAATGTTCAAAAATGTTAATCTTTAATGTTTCACAAAAATTTTTATCATTCTATAGATTGTTGAATATTTTATCATTTCTTGGTTAGACACGTCTTTAATAACTTAAACGTATCTTTTTGACAGAATTTTTATTCTTAATGCCCTCCAAATTAGTTTTTGTATTTTTTTTCAAGGTCAATGAAAGAATTCTACACTTATTCATTAATTGTCTTGATAGAATATTCATCTCAATGCTAGTTCTTTAGGCGCAAAAAATTTCTTCTTCAATGCTTTGTTGTTTTTCTAAGCTTAGGTTCGAGTACCCTCTCAAAACAACTCATCGTTGAACTAACGAGTTTGATTCTAAAAAATAATGATAATCTTTAACATCTTGTTTGTTCTTAAAAAGTACCCCAATTGCCAGGGCATCTTTTATGGCTCTTCATATCTTAATATGCATTTTATCTTGTCATAATGCTTTGCATTAATTATGCATTGTTTGAATGCTAACTTCAATGCTTTTTATCATCTAGTTTGATAAATGATTTTGCCCATTTTTCCTTAATAAATAAATTTCATTCTGTAGATGTTTGCTTAAGTATTCCTTGAAAGTGCTTTTTTCTCCTCTTAGATTCTGCATATTAAAATTTAGATCCGAATATCTCAGTTAATGCCTGTAATATTATGTAAGTTATAAGTATTTATTGTTTTACACCAGAATTAATGAACCTATTTATATCATATATAAGAATGAAAAAAGATCTCGAAATATGTTCCTAGCTTTAGGTGCATCACACCTCTGATTTTCTTTCACTTCTGATTAATGAAGTATTTCTTTGCCCTGCCGCAGGACCTGCTTGCAAGAAAAAATAAAGAATGCAGAGATTTCTTCAGTCGTCTAAATCAATCATTACGAGTTTGGGGAAGCAGACTCCCTGTTGACGCCAGGTATTAAAGAAAATTCATCTCTTACCTCTGAAGTTTTATAACTAAATTCTCCTTTAGTTAACTTTTTGTTTTTACTAGTTTGTCAATAAGCTCCGCAGTTCTTCTTTTGTGCTTCAAAGATAGCGTTGCGCCTTTGCCTTCTTCGATCACACTTGTAAATTAATAATTAAAAAATGTAGAATATATACAGAAAAGAGATCACCTATTAGTAACAAACATTTCTCGCACTTCCGACATTCTTAAATCTTTACACTATAAGGATAAAAGAAAGTGCGTCTAGCATATTTAGAAAAAGAAATTCTCTCCCAATTCTCGAATAAAAAATTCAGAATATCAGTCAGCAATTCAAGCTAAATCGAGTGAATTGTAAGGGTTCATATGACATCATGTGTCGAGTAGCCATCATGAAATAATATTTGGTGGTCAAATTGTGGTGAAATATTTGCGTACATAAGATGTACGCAGCGCTGCGTACATCAGAGGTTATTCTGGGGGTACAGGGGAGTTATATCCGGGTTATACCGGAGGTTACAAGGGGGTATAACCCAGATATAACCTCATTGTACCCCCTGAATAACCTCTGATGTACGCAGCGCTGCGTACATCTTATGTACGCAAATATTTCTCCAAATTGTGAGGAACCGAATCACAAGGAATTGAATAAGGATAGCCTCATGAAAAAGATCACTCATGGTGATCTTTACTGCTATTATGAAATATTTGAAACACAGGGCAACCAAAAGAGACAAGTCAACCCCCCAAATTATAGCCCCTCATAGTAATCAATCAAAACATGGAGCAGTTAGCAAAGATGGATCTGGGAGGAATCTTGAAATTAACGGAATACCACCCAATTTTCTTTTGGATTATCATAGGCGTATTTCAAAGGAAATTTGAGGAATTGTAATTCCTAAAAATAAAGATAGCTGCTGAAGTTAACTCATCAATGAATTTGACCATTTATCGCTCTTAACATACATGTAGCTTTTTTTTTAGCTATGAATTGGTTAGCATCAATTGTTCTTGGCTTGAAAAAATTTAGCTTCAACGAATTACCACAATTTGATATTTGCTATGAGGATTTGGGAATAATTTTTTTGCTTCTTTTAGATTAATCCATGAGTCATTCATTAAAGCCTAATAAATTAGTGCACAAAGTAATTTTGGTGTCCACTATCAGCAATGGACACAACTTCATCATTTTATATAAATTTCAGTTTGGATGTATGCCTCCCTAGAAATGTGTTGGATGCGACTTCTAATGTAGGTGAAAAGCAGGGCTGAAATTGAGCGAGCCAAGTTAAGCTGAGCACACTGTGGATTGAAATTGGCCTGTCATAGTACAAGTAGTTCATGTTCCGTTCGATCTCAAGCCAAGTTTTCATACGTATGGCTTGTTCAAATATTTCTATAATCAAATTTTGTTTGTGCTAGATTGTTTTTTTAATTAATTGAATGAGTACTTAAATTTAAGCTAATAAATAATCTAAGAAAATTCAATGAGAATATGGTTTTTCATATCAATAATATTTGCTACCACATTAACTATAACATCTGCTTGTATATCATTTATGATTTGACCAGCAAAAGAGTTGAGATTAAAATTCATAGTTACTAGTTGCTAGTCAATAACTTGATGTTGTGAATTATCAAAACCTTGAGATGAGGCATTTGACGTGCCTAATATTAGGATCATTTAATTATTACAACAAGCCATTTTTGTATGAGTTTCTTAGTTTAATTTTTTTTTAATATTTTTTTATGTGGGCTCCGAAATTCACGACCGCTCTCCAAGACAATTCTATACATTTATTTTTGTTTTGAAAGAGAGAGCTTTGAAAGGTCGAATTTTCAGAATGCAGATTAGATTGTAGATAAGACACTACCCAGAAATTCCACTCTCATTTAGCAAGGACTTTTTGATCTAGGGTTCGAGGTTTCTCGTAGGCGTAAGCCCCTATGGTTAATTATCTCTCCCGATAACGGAAGAGCGCTTTCGTTTAAGGCTAGTAATTAAGAATTGAGTATTTAACATATAATGGAAACAGACTTAAGATTTTAATTGTAGAATTCATCACTAGAAGCTTAAAGCACATGGTGAGGGAATGAAGGCGAATCCTGATCAAGATTCAACGCTTCTGTCATATCGGGTCATCGTGGTTCTTTATTTACTTAGTTTGATGAGGTAGTTGACCCAACCTGATATCGGGTCATCATGGTTCTATCATATCGGGACTTAAATTTGCCTGTTTACCTAGGAAACCTTGCTCCAAGGATCACTTTTGGGTCATACTTGCGCCACGTGTACCCATCATCTGGTGGAAGCTCCAAATTTCAGCTCCAAATTTCCAATTCCCTATACGGACCGCGGGAATCGTCACCGTTCGTGTCTCGTTAGCAACCATGGGTTGCGTCGTCCAAGGTTTCCTTGTAGATCTCAGGTAGATGTTTGTCTAAACGGGCAAATTTAAGTCTACCTTAACTGACAGAAGACTTTATATCAATCAATTGTACTTGTATTTTTCACAACTCAAATGATAGAAAGAAGTTGGGGAACATAAGGGTTGCGGTCATGATCGTAATATAATGGTGTCATTTGACAACAACTACCTGGTTAGAGGGTTCTGGTCATAATTCTATTTTGTGGTGTGATTGGCAGCAGAACCACGCGGAAAGAGGACTCGGGCCATATCATTGCATGCAATTACTTGGATTGTGAATATAGGGATACATTTGATATGAAATTAGCTTTTTGTGAGTTGAAGTCAATCAAAAATTTGTCTCATTCGATAAACTGTTGCAGAAGGTAATTTATATGATTTTAAAACATAAGTTAAATCAAATAGCTTTCACATAAGCTTTCATTTTAAGCATTTTACCGCCTTCTGCTCACTAACAGACACGTTAATCTGGTGGCGGTAAATTTCAAGTTCTAATAAAACTCAAAGTTTGAATTATGCTTCACCTCTAAGCCTAAGTTCGAAAATTTTAACTTTTAAAGTCTTATGAGCTTAAATTTCTAAAATCAAAATTTTGAAGTTTGAAGTATTAAAAATTTATATTTTAATGACCCATAACATTAAAATTTTAAAACCCTAAGAGCCTAAATTTAAAAGCTCAAATTTTAAAGTAATTTTTTTATCTAAAGTGCCTAAATATTTAAAAACCCGGGTTCCTCGATATTTTAAACCCTAAAGCCTAAAATTTTGAAAGTTCGAGTTTAGAAGTTATTTTAAAATTTTAGTGACTGATGTTTTATTTTATTTTAAAAGTCCAAAATCTCAATTGTTTTAAAGTGATTATAAGCCCAGATTCAGGCTAGCTTTGCTTATGAAGAGACTAGAGAGTTTGATGGCTCTCTTATAAAATGTGCTCAAAAGTATTTAATTTATTTATTTATTTATACTTTTATATTTATATTATGATATTATTATTTTATTATTTAGATTATATTTAATTAATTTTTATATTTATTACATCATCTGGTTCAACCCCGGTCAAACCAATGAAGATTTCCTTCTTTCGGTTTGATATCCGGTCCGGTTTTCACAACCTTGATTTTGACATCTGTTCAAAATGTATTGTAAGTTCTGAAGTATGTTTTAGTGAATTAATGTGATGACTTGTAATTTAATGCCAGGTTATAATCTACATCTAAAACTAAAAAATGTTGTTTTAAAATCTTCAATTTTAGAATATAGTATTATTTTTTTATTTTTTGTTTTTTTTTATTTTTGCTTTTTTTTTAATATATTTGTTTAGTGTATTTTTTTGTATATTTTTAATTTTTATTTTAACAAATAAATTAGCTTGTTTTTAAAAAACATTCAAAATATCTAAAAGTTATTTTGCATGTTTTTAAAATTAACTAAACATATTCTAACATATCAAACATGTTTTATTTCAAATAAAAAATATAAAAAATCAAAACAAAAATTGAAAGTGATCTCAAACTACCTCTTAAATTTCTAAGAACAGATCATTACCATGGTAAAATAATTACTCAGTTTGCTAATTTGTTCCTCTCAACGGACACATCTTGCGTTCTCAATACACACACACACATCCTGCAATCCTAAAGACAATACATTTCATCACAGCATTTTTTTTTTAAATTTGTTTGGAAATAAAATAAAATTTATATATATTTCAGAGTTACATTTCTTTCATAAACTAGCTGCAAAATAAGTGTGGCCAATCCTTAACATATACTTTGCATGGTTTACCATACATTCATTTCAAATGCCAAACTTATGATTCCACCCATACATCAAAATCATAGGGAGTTATTGATATGATGCGTTTACATACATGCCATGCAACTGTTATGCATTCAAAGTACCTAACACCTAAACATTCACATTTATTACATGCATACCCTTAAATCTTTAATATCACATCAAAAATATCAATATCACCATCCTCTTAAAAGTGAAATACAATTATCAATTATGTATGTGAATTTCTCTCTTTATTTTTTTAATTTTCCAAATTTTTTGGGTGGCAGAGCAACTTATTCGAGAATGGCAGAGGAGCTTAGCGATCTGCTGCAGTCCATTCCAGGGGAAGGCTCAACCCCATCAGTTCAAATGAGCTGTTTTGAGACCATGCTGGACTCTCCAATCCCGCAGGATCTTCGTGGCGCCCATCTTCAGGAAGCTCTCTCTGTTTTTACATATTTACTTGCTCATGCTGCATCTTAATCGTCGTAGAAGAAGCAGATTCTTGTGTTCCCTTGCTGTAATATTAGAATGAAATGTAGAACTCCAGTTCTGTGCTTTTTGTTTTGTGTTGCCTGCATGCTTATGGTTCATGTAGAAATAATTTTGGAACTTTTGAAATTGTTCCATTGGTGAATATAGGAGTTTTTTTTTATTATTATTGCTATTATTTTTAAAGATTGTTGAAGGCTTTGTTTGAGGTTTCTGAGAGGGTAGATGTAGTGCTTGTTGTAATACAAGAATTCATGTGTGTGCCGCTTATCGTGATTCTTTGGTTGACAGTGTTTGGAAGTCCTCTGGGTTCATGGGTTTGATCCTGACTATGTGTGGAATGAAGTTCTTAGGCACATAAGGTTGATCGGGAGGCTCGTCTAATAGCCTCTGGCCAATCTTCTAATCTATATATATATATATATAAATGTATAAATGTTTGCGTGTTAAATATGCACGTTGATAAAAAGTTCACTGATATTATAACATGTATATAAATCCTCTTGATTATTTTTAGGAAATTTTATAGAGATCACCTAATTATAATGTATGTTTATATCGAACATCTAAAGTTTGATATTTATAATTATAATATGTTAGTGCATAATCATAGTAAAATTTAAGTATAAAAGGTATATTTTGTTTTAATAGAATTAGTAACTGTAACATTTGTAATGTAATATTAAAATCAATAATGTTTTAACCAATATGAAAAGTAAAGGGTTGTGTTAGGTAGTTGATAACCAGGGTAAAGTTGGTTGAATTTTTATGACATGAATCCTTTTTATTATTATGTAAATGTTAGGGCATCTCCTGGAAACAATGCGTTGTATGACTTGAATACGGTGAAAAGTGTGCAAAGGCCGCTATACTGGCGTCTGGGTGTAGTGTCAAATAAGTAAAGGTTTTTACATTACGGATAAATGCGGGTAAAGAAATTAGGTCATAAAATTAATATTAGGATAGGCTTTGAGAAAATAGCTTATAAATTAATGAAATTAGTTAATATTTTGATCAATTGAAAAATATATATTTTATGTATTCAAGAAGCTAAATGGGTTGGATAAAAGACAAAGAAGATTGATAAGTTAGGTTTTAAACTTTGGTATTAAGATAAGAGTCATACTAGAAAATATGTAAGTGTAATTATAGATATGTATTTGAAAGATAATGTGGTAAAAATTAATAGAATTTGAGATAGAATTGTAGCCCTTGTACTTATAAATTAACGAAATTAGTTAATATTTTGATCAATTGAAACATATATATTTTATGTATTCAAGAAACTAAATGGGTTGGATAAAAGATAAAGAAGATTGATAAGTTAGGTTTTAAACTTTGGTATTAAGATAGGAGTCATACTAGAAAAGATGTAAGTGTAATTATAGATATGTATTTGAAAGATAATGTGGTAAAAATTAATAGAATTTGAGATAGAATTGTAGCCCTTATGACTATTATTGATACTAAGATTTTAAATATTATAAATGCTTATGTTTCTCAAGTAGGTTTAGATATAGGTTTTAAAGATAAGTTCTGGACTCACTTAGAAGACTTAATGCAAATGATATCTCTTAAAGAAATATTTTTTATTGGAGGAGATTTAAATGGGCGTGTCGATAGAGTGATAGAAGATTTTAGAAAAAATCATGGTGGCTATGATTTTGGAGTGATTAATGATGAAGGTAGAGTCATATTAGATTTTGCTTTAGCATATAATTTTGTTATTGTTAATGTTTTATTCAATAAAAGATATGAATATATTATTACTTATAAGAATAGATCTAATAAAATACAAACTGATTATTTTCTTATGAGAAGAAGAGATCGTCGAGAATGTAAAGATTGTAAGGTCCACAACATCGATTATTAGTTCTAGATTTTAAGATGAAGAGTTATAAAATAAAGAATGCTAGGAATCATCATTGTAGAATTAGAACGGGGTATTAAAAAGATAAATAAAATTATTTTTATGAGTAAATTTTGAGATTTCAAGATTTGGGATGTTCATGAAGAAGCAAATTCTATGTGAGATAAAGTAACAAATATTGTTAAACAAATGACAAAAGATGTACTTAAAGGATTAAAAGAAAATGCTTCTATAAATAAAAATAGTTTGTGTTGAAATAATAATGTGCAAGAAAAGATAAAAATATAAGAAGTTATGTTATAAAAATTTGTTTAAATACGTTATAAAAGTTTGTTTAAATATAAAATCTTAGATAATTGAAAAAATATATCAAATGGTCTGTAGAGTGTCTAAGAGAATAATTTATAATACTAAAAATTCTGCTTTTAATAATCTTTATAATAGATTTGATAGATGCTAAAAATGGTGAAAAATATATGTATAAGCTAGTCAAACAAAGAGAAAAGAAAAGTAAGTACAAGTAAACATTTTCATGAAGTTTCTATAAATTAAAAATGTTTTTCTTAGAAAAAGATATTCGTCATAGGTGTGTGAGTTATTTTGATAAACATTTTAATGAAGTTTCTAAAAATACGATCGACTTTAGTAATCTTAGTAATCATAATAATAATAAAATGTTTCATTTTACCGTTGCATTAGTAAAAAAAATGTTGATGATGCTTTCAAGAAAATCAAGGGTGAAAATTTCGTAGGATCTGATGATGTCCCAATTGTAGTGTGGAAATATATATGAGATTTAAGAGTTTCTTGGCTTACTAAGCTCTTTAATATTATTCTAAAAACTATAAAGATGATTGAGGAGTGAAGGAAGAGTATTTTGGTCACCATTTTTAAGAATAAAGGGGATGCACAAGAGTGTGCAAATTATAGAGGAATTAAGTTGATGCGTCATACTTTAAAATTATGGGAGCAGGTAACTGAACATAGGTTAAGAGATGTTACAAATATTTCTCATTATCAATTTGGATTAATGTTGGACAGGTCTACTATGGAAGCTATGCATTTATTGAGAGGTTTGATTGAGAAGTTCAGAGATAATAAGTAGGATCTATATATGATTTTTATTGATTTAAAAAAAGTTTACGATATGGTCCCAAGAGCTAGTCGTTGGAGAGTTCTTGAGAAGAAAGGTGTTGATATGACTTATATTTAAGTCATTAAAGATATGTATACTAGAGTTATTGCTTATGTTGGAACGGGAGGAGGATTGATCAAATATGTTTCTATTTCTGTTGGATTTAATCAGGATAGGCTTTAAGCCCATATCTTTTTGCTTTTGTTATGAATGTTCTTACTGGACATTTACAGGAGCTTGTACTTTGGTGTATGTTTTTTACTGATGATATCCTTCTCATGGATAACGCGAGAGAGAAAGCTCACGAAAAATTTGAATTATGGAGGTCCACATTGGAGTCTAAAAAGCTTCATGTGAGTAGAACTAAAGCAAAATACATGGAATGTAATTTTAGTAGTGGTAGCTCTACTGATAGAATAGTAACTATGGGTGATCAAATTATTAAAATGTGTGAACGCTTTGGATATCTCGGGTATATTGTTCAAAGTGATGGTGATATAGATGAGGATGTTATTGGTGGAGTTGAAGTTTGTTGGTTAAAGTGGATGAATGCTTCGGCTATTGCGTGATAGAAAAGTACCTCTTAGACTTAAAAAAAAATTATAAGATAGTGGTGAGACCTGCAGTGCTCTATGGCGCTGAATGTTGGCCTTTAAAAGAGAAGCATAAACTAAGTTAAGTGTTGCCAAGATGAGAACCATTAGGTGGATGAGTGGCTTTACACTTAGAGACAAGTTGAAGTTTGTTGGCTAAAGTGGATGAATGCTTCGGCTATTGCGTGATAGAAAAGTACCTCTTAGACTTAAAAAAAAAATTTATAAGATAGTGGTGAGACCTGCAGTGCTCTATGGCGCTGAATGTTGGCCTTTAAAAGAGAAGCATAAACTAAGTTAAGTGTTGCCAAGATGAGAACCATTAAGTGGATGAGTGGCTTTACACTTAGAGACAAAATGCAAAATGAATATATTTGTGATAGGGTTGGTGTAGCTCCAGTGACAGACAAAATTAGAAAGAGTCCTCTTAGATGGTTTGATCATATTAAACGTCGATCATCTGATGATCTAATTAGGAGAGTAGCTGTTTTGGACTCAACTTATGGCAAGAAAGGTAGATGTAGATCTTAGTAGCTGTTTTAGACTCAACTTATGGCAAGAAAGGTAGATGTAGATCTAGAAATACTTGGACATATTGTATGCATAATGATCTAATTTATTAGAATTAAATGATAATACGACACTCAATAGGACTCAATGCAAAAGAAAAGATACATGTAGCCGATCCCACTTGGTGGGATAAAGATTTGTTGTTATTGTTGCAGTAATGTTTCAACCAATAACTCTAATTGAAATATAATACACAGGACATTTGATTGTGACTTGGGACAATAAAATTAACTTATGCTATCTTCTTTAGGAAAAAAAAAGTAGGTGTTACTTATTAAATGAGAAATTAGAGATGGAGAGAGAGAGTAGACAAAAAGAATTAAATGAATGTGACATCACAAACTGCTAAAAATAAAAAAATAATAATAATAATAAACTGAAAAGGCTATTGATTTCTAACCAAATATTTCCATTTTTTAAATTTTTAATATTGCTAATATGACTGAAAATTAAAAAAATAAATAAATAAATAAGAGATTTTGTGTCAAATTTTTATTTAGAATAATATTAAAATAAGTTCTAGAATAAATTATTCTGAATTAAAATGTTATATGCTAAAATGATAAAAATAATATTTTAATCAGATTAAAATAAATTTAATATTTATTTAGTTATTCCGTTGAGTTGAAAGCCTTTTTTTTTCTTTTTTTGCTCTTTTTTTATTTCTGATTGGGATTCGAAAATCTTGATATGTAGTTAACGCACGTGCGTATGATATGTTAAAAAAAGACTTGTGAATATAGTACATGATAGACAAATAAATTCAAGTACCACAACCTACACTCTATGGGAATACTAACAACTGACAAGCAAATACCCGATCTACTGATCTGAGTATGCGGTGAATATATATATATATATATACTATGACAAAAAAATAAATAGGTAAATTATTATAAAGTTGTAATAACATAATACAAACTTATTTATATTTTGAATTGTTAATAATTAAAGTAAATTTTTATTTTAATTTAAAAAAGAAATAAATTTTGTCATAGAATTAATTTATGCAATGAAGTAATAAAGTTCATTTTTTCCATTTCATAATTAATACAAATACAGTAATTAGTTAACTACATATTACATAAAATATATAAAACCAAATATTAAAATTAATTTTTATATTCTCTAGAATATGCTTCAAATTTTAAAATTAAAAATGATGATATTTTTTATATATTTGAGTGCTATAAATGTAAAAAATTAAAATTAAGTTGTTAGATATGTAAATACATAGAAATTACGTGGCATGTATGTAAATGCCTAAGATTTTAATGCTAAAAATTATTTCTTCTTTTAAATTCAAAAAAAAATTAAATAATAATTAATATATAAATTATATTAGATATTAGGTAGCTTTCGCAAATTAATGCTGCCAAACTGCAAAAATTTTTCTATGCGGGCTCTTGACGTAGCTCTACGTGCGACGCAGGGTATTCTTGAGTTATTTTCAGGTTATTTCTGGGTTATTTTCAATAATCCCGAAATAACCCAGAAATATCCCAAAAATAAAGACCGCAGGATATTTCTGGGTTATTTCGGGATTATTGAAAATAACCCAGAAATAACCTGAAAATAACTCAAGAATACCCTGCGTCGCACGTAGAGCTACGTCAAGAGCCCGCATAGAAAAATTTTTGCAGTTTGGCAGCATTAATTTGCGAAAGCTACCTAATATCTAATATAATTTATATATTACGCCAAACTGCCCATGTGGGTCATGTGCGGACTGGCAGCACACACGTGTGACGATCATCGATTATTAATAAAAAATTAAATTAACAGAAGTTCAACTAATTAATTAATTAATTGTTCCGGCCCCTTTCAAATAAACTTCTAGAATCAGAGTAATTTTAACTATAGGTCTCCAGCCGAGTTAGGACCGATTCGAACAAAGCGCAGCTCAAAATTGATTCGTGATTTGTTGTATTCAATTTTATTTTAGCTCGATCTTATTTGAAGTCGAAACAAATTAATTTAAATTGAGTTATTTGAATCCATTTTAGCTCATAATCAGCTCGAAGTGGCTCAAAATCGAAACAAAATAGCTTAAATTAAGTTGACGAAATTGGCTCGAAACTGACTCATGACTCACAATTAACTCAAAATGGATCTCAAGTCGGTTCGAGCGGATCCAAACATAACTCACAATTAGTTCGAGCCAAAAAATTTTGATCCGAAAGCCCAACTCAGAACTACTCTTTTATTTTAATCCGATCTTGATGGCCAAAATTAGAAACATTACCTACTACTTCAAACTAAATTCACAGCACAATTAACGACTGATTTAGCGAGTAATTAAGGATAAATAAATTATAATTACTTAACCAGTTTTGGAATGGTCTCCGCCCTCTTTAGCTTCGTCTTCCTCCTATTCAGCACAGCAGAGCACGGCTTATCCTCTAACGATCTCAATGGCGTGCCGCGCTGTAGAGAGCTGGACTCTCACCTCCCTTGTGGGCGCTTACCTCGACCTAACCCTAGCCTACCTCTTTCTCCTCGGAGCCACCATCGCCTTCTTTGTTTCGAAGCTACTCTCTCTCGTCGGTCTCTCTCTCCCCTGCTCCTGCGATGGACGATTCGCCCACCCTTTCTGCGCACAAACGAGCCTACTCCTCGACTTCCCCAGCACCAATATCGCCGCCGTACAACGCTCGCTTCGCTCCCGCTTCCCTTATGATTCCCTAATCCCCGCCGGTGCTTCCCACTCTCCCCGATGTTGCTGTGCCGTTCAATACCCTAGCGAAGATTGCGATTTGCCGCCGCTGCCGCCTCCGCCGCCCGATTCGCCGGAGGAACCTTTGGTTCATCCTGATCCTGGGTTTTCTATCTCTAATGTGGAGAAGTGTTGCTCGACGTCGGCTGAGATGTTTTCCGGCGGCCCATGGGACTCTGATGAGGAAGGTGAGTCTAATCATCTGCCATTTTTGTGCTAAAAATTGCTCTATCTTTAATGATAAGACCTAAAAAGGTTTTTTTCTTGATTTAATAGGAACAGATTTCCTGTCTAGTTATATATAAGATTTTTAACAACGCTTTTGTTGAGAGAAGATTCTTGCAATATCTTCAAAAAAGAATTACAGAACCATTGTAATGTATCAATAGAAGACATAAGAAGCATTTTATAGACAAGAACCTCAATCTGTACTAGACTCTAAAGATAATAGGAAGAATTGCATACATGCCACTCAACTCTTATGCATTTACATAGCTAACACCAGAACTTCAATTTTTACATATATATATATATATATATATATATACTGCTTTACATATGCGTGAAAATGTGTATCTCACTTTTCAAAAATTAAAATGGTGCTATTTTTTAGTTGATATGAAAGATTTGAGTGGTGTATAAATGTAAAAGATAAAATTTAGTTGTTTGGTATGTAAATACATAGGAATTGGGTTTTATGTATTTAAATGCCCCAAAATAACATTGCACTGAATTCTAACAATCTTGAAACATTGACAACGTTAAACATAATAACATTAAACCAAGAACATAATGTTTGACATGATGTATCAACATCTTACAAGATTTTTATATTTGATTTTATGTTTAAGTAGCTTTAAACTTAACAACACCAAATTTTTTTTTGGAGGTTGCAGGTTTAAGGGAAGAGACTGCAACTAGAGAGAAGGATTCATGTATTGGTGATCGAGGCCTGATGGGATGCGACAAAGGGGTGATTTTGAAGATGAGTAGCTTGGAAAGGGAGCTCGAGGAAGAGAGACAGGCTCTTGCAGCTCTATACCTTGAATTGGAGAAGGAGAGGAGCGCGGCTGCCAGTGCTGCGGATGAGGCAATGGCAATGATATTGCGGCTTCAAAAGGAGAAGGCCGAGATAGGCATGGAGGCTCGACAGTATCAACGAATGGTTGAGGAGAAATCTGCTTACGATGAGGAAGAGATGGAGATTCTTAAGGAGATCATAGTGAGGCGAGAGAGGGAGAAGCACGTGCTGGAGAAGGAGGTCGAAATGTATAAGGAAATGTTGAATTCTGGAGAAAGATTTGAGCAGGAATTTGATGCTGGTGAGAACTTTTTGGAAGAAAAGTTGGATACTTTGGTTGATTTCTCAGATGATCCCATGTTGATGCTGCAACAAATCTATAAATCGTTTGGAAAGATGGAAGAATCAAGTGATTTTGGACCTAGATCTTCACCTATTATGAATTCAAGCGTGGCTTTGCAAAATTTTCTGGGTGTGAGGAAGAATGCTAAATTGTTTAACAGTAATGATAATTGTGATCAGGAATTCCAGGAGAAAACCATACTGGCAACTCATAGCAACTCATCTTCTTCGAATATACAAAATAATCCATCTGTTGCTGATTCACTTTTGAATAATTTAAACTCAACCTTTGAGACTGAATATCATAAAGATATTATTGTTAAAGATGTTTCTGACCAGAGATGTGATGAATCTTTTCTAGCTGAAGCTGAATCAAATATCCTTGATGTTCATGTTATAGATGATGACCAGTTTTTGCAGCCAGAGGAAGATGACAATCAAAATATCTCTGCTGCAGAAGAAGATTCATCATGTGAAAATTTCAATGAAATGGAACAAAACATCCGAAGAAGCTGCTCAGAAATCACAAATAGAATCAGTTTGATTGATAGCTTGTCTGGGAGAGCTTCATGTTCCAATCTGCGGAGTTTATTGCCTTCTGCAGAAAGCGAAAGATATAAAATTGAAAACGAAGTTGATGTTTTAAGGAAGAGATTAGACATTATCAGGAAGGGGAGGGAAAATCTAAGTCTTTATGTGGACCAAAAAGAAAAGGAGACCTTCCAGTTACAACTCCTTGATGAGATTGAATTCCAACTTAAAGAGATCAAGAAAGTAACAAAGCCTGCTAAAAATCTACGGCGAGCATCATTACCTCCTCAGTCTTCTAAGGTGAAGTTCTAATCGATGATTGAAGTTATAGCTGTCTTCATATGATTTTGTGAAACTTATTCGTTTGCTTTCCTTTTGAGTTTTTTTCGTTTTTAAAATGAACTTTCTTATGTATTTATTATAAGGAGCTTTTACATACATAGCACACAATTCTTATGTATTTATATATCTTGCACCATTACTTTTATATTTACACACATAACACTTGAATCTCTAATATCAAATCAAAAATAACATTTTTATCACTTTTTAAAAGGAAAATATACATTTTCATGTATAAGCTTAAAGCATCAAAGTTCTATGTATGTAAATATGAAAGTTTAGGTGTGAGATATTTACATATAAAAGGATTGTGTGCTGCGTATGTAAATTTCCCTTATTATAATTACCTAAGCTTATTTTTTTACAATGATTTTTTTCCCCCAATATGATTATGATCTTTGCAGACCCCACTTAGTGGGATAAAGGCTTTTTAATTGATTTGAATTGCAATTTAATCGCTCATTTCTATTTTCAGCTGAAGGGGCACCGCAATGTGGAAATTTGAAGCAGCTTGAAAAACTAAAGCCTTCATATGGTCTGAAGCAGAAATGTGGAAAAAGACTGTTTCTGATGGCCGAGTCTGCTGCAGCTTCTCTCTGCAAAACATAATGGATATTGTTATATCAGAGGTACATAAATCTGTAGCTTTGTATCATAGCTTTATTCAACTCTTCATTTCATTGCAGGCTTTGCCTTTTGTGGCCTTTGTATATTAAGTAAATGTATTGTATTGCAGGTATATTATGATATATGCTATTGTAATGTCAATGACATGGTTTTAATAGATGTAGAGATTTATTAGAAATGGTGAGTATCTGTAGTTCATGTTATATATAATTTTTTTGAAGATTTGCGTACGTACCGAACAATTCCTATGTATTTAATTCTTACATTTATGTCACTACCAATGCAGGAAAGGTGTGTTACACTTTTAAAAGTTCTAATTTTCTTAAGCATGCGGTAGTTGTTTATGTTAAGTGCATCATTTCTGTCCAAATTGATGGTAATTGCTTACATCTGCTTGTATGCTAAATATATTTATTAGAATGGTGCTTCAATGTTTGCTTGCATTTAGATGGATTTCATTGAGCTTATAGTAAAGTGATGCTTGAATTTTTAAATGGAAAATTTACAAACATACCACAAATATCTAACAACTAATCTTCAATTTTTACATATATATGCCACCTTATCAATGCATGGAAAGATGTGTTGCACTTTTTAAAAATTAAAATAGTGACATTTTTTATGTGATATGAAATACATGGGAGATATAAATGTAAACAAAATAAAGTTTAGGTGTTAGATTTGGTTGTGTATATATGTAAACGCCCCTTTTATTTTGCATATTGAGTGGGTTGATGGCCATCATGACTAAGTAGAAGTTTATGGTGAAAAAGAATTTGTTCACTGTGCTAAGTTCCTGGCTCTTTGGTTAGCGTCTGCAAAGTCAGTTCTAAGTCCCCTGCAGTCGGGGGTTCGAACCCGCCTATCTTCGGATAAGTCGAGTGGCTAGGCACATGAGATTAGTTGGGGGCTCTTATCATAGCCTCTAGCCGACCTTTTTTTTTATTAATAATTTGTACATATGCCACACTTTGACCTTCATTTATAAAATCTTATGGCTAATTTATATTATATTTAATCATATTAAATTTCAAATTTCAATTTTTATCAAATACAAATAATAGTGAATGAATTTGTATCTTTCTATTATGGTTTTAAAAATCGACTTAAATCTAGTTTTAAAAACTAATTTCACACAAAATTGATTGAACCCCATTGTTGAAGTGTGAACCCAAGCAATGTTCTTCCCAACACCCACAAATATTCAATAGAACTAAGTTGAAATATAAAGGCCATAAAACCAAACAAAACAAATTAATAATTGATATTTTATGATAATATAAGATTTACATCATGACATAATTTATCTATATTTTTTGTAATTAATAATAACATCAAATATAAATTTCATGAGTAATTGTAAATTAAAGATTATTTTTAAATTATACCTTTATCCAAAAAATAGCCATCTTATTAAATTAAAGGGAGATTTACATACCTACCACCTCATTCCTATGTATTAGCATATCAACCGCATAAATTTCAATTTTTACCAATAGACCACCAAGCCGTATGCTGGAAACATAGAAATTGGATGGTATGTATGTAAAAATTGAATTTTGAGTGATGGATATTTTAATACATAGAATTATGTGGTATGTATGTAAATACCCCTAAATTGTCCTATAGGTGGTAAAGCGCAACATCATCCTTAAGGCGATGTTTGGTAGCTTAAAATTAATAGAATTTATGAGTTATTTTAACGTAAATCCATCCAAACCCCAAAAAACGTAAAATAAATCTGACAGTTTGTTAAATCCAAATTACTCATCATATATTAATTTTCTTACATAAATTCAGCATTTATTAAATCCGATTTTTAGGTGGATTTAACAAATTTAGTGTACAAAAAACTAAACCGTGATAAAATGGGAAAATTATTCTGTCATGACTCCAACTCAGAGAACCATTCGAAATCCAATGTAATCACGCCACGTGGCGGTGACAAGAAAAAATAAAATCTGCCCGGTAACATAAGAGAATATTCATCCCGTGCTATTCAGGTGTTACTGTGTGTTATTTAAGTGTTATTGATGTGTTATTGTGTTATTATAATACCGAGAATATTATCAGAATACAATAACACCTGAATAACACGGGAGGAATATTGAATAACACGGGAGGAATATTCCGATGTGTTACCTGACATTTTTTTTTTTTTCTGTCATCATCACGTGACATGATTTTATTGGACTCTGAATGGTTCTCTACGTCAGGAGTCCTGACAGAATAATTTTTCGATAAAATGACCAACAGAAAATATGAATTTAAACGGATTTAAATTACATTATACCAAACATCTTAGATTTAATAGCAATGGATTTCATAGTATATTATTGAGGCATTTACATTACATGCATACCACACAATTATTATAATATTTACATATCTATCACCTAAACTTTCATATTCACATACATACCACTCAAATTTCTAAAATCACATCAAATATATCAATATCACCAACGTTTTTAGGTTTTCAATAACAAAACATTATAAATGTAAATATCAAACTTTTAAACGCAATGTGTGATATGTATGTAAATTTCACATTATTAAATTGACTCTGAAATGAATCAACAAATGGCTAAAAGGTAAAATATACTCTTAATAAACAACATACTCAAAAACTTCTAAAACTCAACTTCATACCACAAGTGGTAAAACAAGCCAAGCATAAAAACACTAAAATAAGTAGATTCGAACAAAGTGAGCTGTTTAGCCAAATCAAATCTATATATTTATGCACATGAAATCTCCCAGCGGTACATATCAACAGCATTGTATCATGGTCTTAAAACTATGCTCAAAATGACACAATTTTAACAGCATAATATGCAGTGTTCTCACAAGTTGGTCCCAATGACTGTTACAGGTAGTAATTTCATATAAAAGCAGGGATTTTTCCTACCAAAAATGAGAGCTGCACAAACAAAACATGGCTGGTAATATATTTGTGACAAAAAAGGATTTTTGAACTCTAAGTAGTGAGCAAGTTTGCTTTTTGTTCACCCCAGAAAGCTATCTTGAGATCCAAATTCCTGAAAAGAGCGAGTTAGCAAGTCAAGGAGTCATCACATGTATTTCAGTAACAATAAAAAAGGGACATTTATGTACGTATCAACCAATTCTTATGTATCTACTACATATCTAACACCTAAAATTTATTTTTTTTACATTTATATCAACTAAAATTTTTCATATCACATCAAAAATATCATCATTTTAACTTGAAAAAAGTGAAATAAATCTTTTCATGCATAGGTAACGGGCGTGTATGTAAAAATTGATGTTTAGGTGCTGGATATGTAATTTTTTTTTAAAGGGTTGATGCTGAATCATACAAGTTGGCTGAGTCTCATCTCAGGAGTTGAGTCGACTTCATTATATGATGAATGATTGCCTTCTCGGCTGAGCTTCTGACATTCCTTCAGGTCTCTTCTAAAATACTCAACACCAATAGAAGCATAATCTGACAAGCAGGATTTACGAGGTTTAACAGCTTCATCCTCGGCATAAGATGACTGGCTCTGTAAAAACTCATCACATATGGCAATGCCTTCAGCAAGCTGCTGTGAATCCAAAAGGAATTGTGATTCACCTTCCCACCATTTGGGATCTTCTGCTGATTGGCTATCTTGAGCAGGACCTTCATTGTCAAGCTCTCTGGTTTCGTGATCCTTGGCAAAAAATTGATTATCGAGTTTTTCTGCTGCCGGGTTAGCATTGTTGGTCTCATTCATAGGGTCGCGATCTACTTTTAGCTGTGATTTCAGCACGCCATAAAAAGAGAAATATCGATTATCATCACTTGATAGACAATAGTTGACAACGATTAGTTGTCGAAGGAATGATTCTGAATGAAAGCAGAAAATTTTTTTAAGAAAATTACAATAGCATGAGTGCACTAAACAACCTGAATGTGCATAAATGTATATAGACACAAGTTTCGGTTTGTTTTAATAAGATTGACAGTTAGTTATGATTGTGCATCAAGTGAGAAACCAGATGTTCATTTTTCTTCCATATTTGATGCCCTACTAGTTAAAACTTTATGAATATTGATCCTAGGCAGTTCTAACTATCACTTTTCATTAGTAGTAGAAAGCAAATCTATATATATATATATATATATAAATGAAAGATGCATATACATAACACTCAATTCTCATGTATTTACATATATAACACCAAAACTTCAATTTTTACATATAGGCCCCTTTCCCTATGCATAAAAGGTGTTCTTCACTATTTTAGAAGTTAAATATTGGTATTTTTTATGTGATATAAAAGATTTGGGTGGTTATAAAAGTAAAAAAAAATTAGAGTTTTAAGTGTTAGATACGTAAATACATAAGAATTGAGTAGTATGTATGTAACTGCCCCAATATGTACAGGACCAAACACATACATACATAAAGAGAGAGAGAAATAGGGAGAGAGAGAGAGAGAGAGAGATGAACCAAAAATGAGAGAGAAAGAAGATAGGGTGAGAGATGATAATAGTGAGGCGTCTTTAATTTGATCGTTAGACCATTAGGGAACTTCTATCTTTTCCTATGAGTTCTAACCTCTCGCAACGGACACACATTGGAATGTTAAGAGATTAGCATTGGATTAAATTTGAGTATTGTTACCCAATAACGGAGAACCACTTCTATCTTATCTTAGATAGTAGACATAGAAAGTGAAGAACTAAATAAGGGCTTATTTGAGGTGGCTGCAACCTCTCATAAAAGTGATTGTAAAATTGTGGTGTAAGAAGTAACTTCTTAGAAAACAGTGATGAGAAATATAATTTTTTTTTTCTAAAAATCAAACAATAGTTTTCCTACAACCATCACAGCCTAATTGGTCAGGCCAGAAAAAATAGCTTCCCGTCACAGAAATTTTAAAAAGCAACAAGAAAACAGTTCCTCAAACAAACTTGAGGTGGTAGTATGAAAAACAAAACAAACAAAAAACTGTCCCAAATGGATCCCAAGAGAAGAACTTGAAAATAAAATGACTCGAATGAATCTTAAAATCTAGAATAAGTGACTAAGTTGACGGTAAATAATGACTAGGATAAGTGGATAAAGATGCAATCTTTAACTTCTACACTGATTGCTAGCGACCCAAGCCGCATTCTCCCATCACCTCCAATGGCCATATAATAAACAAAATGGTCATGAAGATGACTAGGATTTAGTGGTCACAAACGAAAGTAAGAGGAAAAACTAGACCATTTAAGGTGAAAGCGAAGTTAAAATTCCCCAGTTATGATAGGACATTTGATGCGGAAGCATTAGACAAATACATTGACAGACTAGAAATTTATTTCATCCTACATAAGTATAACACTCATAACAAAGTGGCTTTTCCTCAAATGAAGCTTACCCAACATATCTTAGAGTGGTTGAATGATCACATGAAAGGAATGAAATCATTAAGAGATAATCTAGAGACAGTCTAAGCGATCAAATAAACATGAATTTTATCCCATAGTTCAGTGGCGGATTGGTGGAAAAAATGAAGCAGTACAAGGCAATGATAAGAACAATCAGTGCAAGAACATATGACAGAGTTTGGACTGCTTGCAATCACTTCCGGAAATGTAAGTTAGGGATGTACATATGTTGATGAAGTGCATCTATAGGCTTTATTCACAAAGTGCAAATGAAATTTGCTTGTTCTGAATTTTAGCCAAGTCTGTATGATGGTCATGGCCACCGAATGAAAAACCTAGCCATGATGGAGAAGGGCAAGAATAAAAAAAGGTAGATCCACTTTCCCCAAAAACAAGATTGGAAAAAAGATAACCAATGCTTCAAAAATTACCCCGTCTTTTGAAGTCCGTGTCTCTTAAAAGTTTTGCTACTAATAGCAAATAGTTGACCAAATAAAAGAGAAACATTAAAAATTGCACCCTACTCATTAAAATATTGAAGATGGATAGTCCACATAAGTGTGTTGGATATCCACCAGCATCAACTAGGTAATTAAAAAGAGAACAAGAGCAAGCTAGAATATGTTCGCAGTCACACCTGTATATGCATAAAGGTGCAAGGGAGCAGGAGTTGGGGACAACTAAGCGAGGAGGAGGGGGTAGGAACATTCAGAGCTAGTTTGGAAAATTTTTCCTTTATTATTGAAATATACAATCTAAATGAAACGAAAAACTTGAACCCACATAGACACCAAAATGCTGTAGTACTTATGTCACCTTTTTCTTCATTTTTTCACCATAAAACAATTGAAAGAAGGTGAAAATAGAGAGGAAAAAAGGTAGATACAAAGAAAAGGAAAACAGCGAGAGCATGCCAATTCACTGGAAGGAAGTGCAGTAGCCGCTTGGACTTGGGGTTCAAGAAGTAGCAGAAAGCTACAAGAAGAGGAAGCAGAAAAGGTTTTTGGCAACTGATGCATGTTAGCCAGAAATAAAATTCTGCCGTCAAGAACAGGTGAAGAATGTAGCATATCAATTTTTCAACCAAGAAAGCATTCAAGTTCGCCCACTAACTATAGTCTCCACAGTACTTTATGCATCTATCTTGGTTTCAGTTTGGATTATACGAAAATCCAGAACTAATTATCAGTTCAAGCAAATCCGTTTACAGCACAACTATTCACAAGAGGAAGGTACCAACCCCAAAAGCAGCTGGTTTAGTTTTGTTGGGTTCGGTGCCTCTTCTCACAACAAATTTTAACTTCCAAGTATAGCTTCAACCTTGATCCAATACTGCTGTGTTACTTTTTGTCTTCTCTATACATTGATGTCTTCATTCAATTAAAATTAGGCATGCGGATGTTGGTTTATGGTTGGACGGGTTGATGGGATAAAATGAAAGTATTAAAGTTAAATGTGCACTAGCAAAGATTACAAGTATAGGAGCAAACCAAAGATATCTTGTTTTCTTCTTCGATAATATTCTGATGTTTCCAACCAAGAAGATGACTTGCAGAGTTATATTAATTCCCTAATTATAAATAAATTGCAATAACGAGCCAGAATATGTAACTTATTGTGCTGATTATATCAGGTTAATATATGGCTTATGACTCAAACCTCATCCAAGTTCCGAAAAAAGATTAAAAATAAGTTTCCCTTGTCTTTGTGATAGCATTTTTTACTTCCCTATTCCTGTTTTTTTTAAGTGAACCATGGATCTTCTCATCACCTGAGTACAATAAACTGGAAACTTTATTAGGCTACCATCTCCCATCTACATTCACGACCATGATTAAATTATAGTATTTCCAGATAAAGCACGTCTAGCAGGCTATGATTGAGAAGGTTAGTTGTGTGGCTCAATTCAACTGGAGTTATCGGAAATAAAATGGCTGGAGAGGTAAATATATCTCAAAGAAACATAAGCTTTGATGATACCTTTACTTGGATAATATATACCTGATCAGAGGTTTCTTCAGAGCTTTGAATCATATCTTGACATTCATCATGGTATTCATGAGTTAAAGATCCAGTAGAAGCCATGATTTCCGTTTCTGCAGCAACTTCGTTTGCGGTTTTTATTATTGGATCTACTGTGCTCCTTTCACAAGGTTTGAACTGTTGCTGATAAAATATTTTAGAGACAACAAATTCACCATTCTTTTCATCTTCACCAATGCCAAGGTGATATTGGTGCATCACCCAATTAGTCTTTTCAGCTTTACCTCCCTTTGTGGCGCTAACATACAGAACCATTATTTTTTTACATCCTAGATGTTCCCCATCTAAAAGCACAGGCTTCGTCTTACCCGTTTTGTGCCAACGGACATCCCCATGATCATTAGTGTTTATCTTACGACGCTTACGAGTTCCAGTGTTGTAAGCCTTGAATGTTCTATGAAAGAAGTGAGAAACACTTCCATCCTGCTTAACTCCTGAAGGAAAGGACATTCAAGTTAAAAAAACAACAGGATAAAAATCAAGGGAAATTACATACGTAGCACACAATTCTTACGTATTTACAAATCTCACGCCTAACCATTCATGTTTACATATATAGCACTTCGGTGCTTTAAACCTTTGCATGAAAAGGTGCATTTCACTTTAAAAAAGTGGTAATGGTGCTATTTGTGATGTGATATTAAGGATATGAACGCTATGTGCATAAATACCAAAGTTTAGGTGTGAGATATGTAAATACATAAGAATTGTGCGCTACGTATGTAAATGCCCCAAAGATATCTCAGATAATCAGTCACCTGGTAATTTCTGAGGGTGAGTATAACATATTCCATCTTCCTCTTCAACTGTTGGTATGAACTCATTGATGAAAGGATGAGGATCTACACCATCTTTCCTGACTTTAGCCATCAAATGTTGCAGCAGCTCTTGGTCTGATGGATCAAACTTGACGCCATGTGGCAAGCCAGGCCATTCATGGATAACCTGATATTAATATTAGTCAAAGAACAAAATTTTCACAGAAAAAAAGCAGTTTAGCCATATGAAATTTTAACAAAACAGGAGATCTAAAATCCATAATTCACCAAGGAGATCCAATGGTTCAAAAAATGTAAAGACTGGCTGACAAAGGGTGTTAGAATCTTCGATCACATAATGTCAAACTATCCATGCAATTCCAACGCAATAACGGTAGACATATTTAACACACTGAACTCCTGTGGTTTTTAGATTCTTCACTTCAAAATCAATTTTGACGATCACTATGGCTTTCCAAATATATTCACAAAATAAATAACAAAATTGATAGTTTACATCATTCAGTAAAGGCCTTCACGGAGCTACAAAGATGCAAGACCTCAAGGGATTCAAAGGAAAAATGCTTTGAAGCCAACATAACTCAACACTGAGTCAGTAACATTAACAGGACCTATCAATCAGAAAAATGAAATAATATATAAATATTCACAGTAATAGCTCGGCATGCATATATGCAAGAATACTTGACAGTATAGCAAGTTGAGTAAGATTCTAGAAGTCCAATCAACAAAAGAAATATAACAACTAAAGACTTGAATAAGTTTATTGGCTATAGAGCTAACACAATAATAAAATAAAATAAAATAAAAACTCATCGAGAAAATTAATGATTAATTTAATAATCAAGGCATATGAAATATTTCTAAGAAACAATTTGTATGTTTACTTGTTAAAAAGTAAAGGAAAAGAACTTCATAACAAAGCATAAAATTCCAGGATGAACTTTGTTTTACTGTGGGCAAGTAAAATTGAAGGAAAAGAAAGCTATTCAGCATTTCACTACGGCAAAACTTCAAACTAAAGAAATCTTACATCGCTATTATCAATAACACAATTGCACCTTGGACAAGCTCTGGTGGGGTTACTTATCCATTTGGTGCTACCAGGGTCTGTTCTCTCTGATGCATTTTTAATCTTTTTGGCAATCCTTTTGCTATCGACTAGCCATGATGCTCTGTATGTAATATAAACTTAGTAAATGTTAACGATGAAAAGTCACAAAAATGAATTCCTACAATAAACATAACTAGTAGCAAAGTTTTTTTGCTGAGACTAGGCAAAACTTCAGTGTAATATTGGATTTCAGAAAGAGGAGAGAATATGATAGACATAAAGTGGGGACCTACGTAGAAGTAAAAAATGCATTTATAAAATTTAATTGTTGCAGAGGCAACAATAGTCACATTCACCCAAACCATCCTTTGAGTGCACTTTGATTCAATGTCTAAGCAATGGACATACAAAAATGGAGTTACCATCCCATATTTCCAAGGGACCATTTGGGATTATTTTTGTTTTCGCATTTATTTATAATATATTTGTTAAGTGTATTTTTTATATGTTTTTCTTTTAATTTTTTAAAAACATATTTGTTTTCTTTTAAGAACACTCCAATATGTAAAAGTTGGTTTAAGTGTTTTTAAAAGTAACTAAACATGTTTTAACATACAAAACATATTTTATTTCAAAACAAAACAAAAAAAATGAATAAATAATAAAAATAAAAGTGATCCCAAAAAGTCCCCAAGTACCATTGCACCAAGACTTGACTCCAAAAATATACGCCAAATAAAATTAGCCACATAAATTGTGTGGAATCAAACAATGATAGCACCATCACAGCTGAAAATTTTACAAAACTTAAAACTAGGTAAATTGCACTTTCACGCGTCTTCTCTCAATATCATATCCTTTCTTCACTTCTTTCAGTGTTACAATTGAAATATGTCGGGCTGTATCAAAAAATGATGTATAATGATGTTGATCATGCAATAGTCTCCAGCAGTGGCATTTTCGCAGAATTTTCCATTGTAAACCTTATTTTCTAAAACTTAAATTGGGTGTTATGAAGATGTTCTAATGGCTTGTAATGACGCCAAAACACAGACATGCTATGAGGCACAGCATGTGTAACTAGAAACCAAATGACATATCCAAAACTTATTTCATGTTTAGTTATACATGTACACATTAAATAATGCAATATATTATTGTAAGCATCTAAGAATCAAACCAAGGCCAAGTCAATTTGATTGAATGATCCTTGATGTGCTTTCTCAGATAAAATGTATGGAGAAAAATACTTGTTTATCTTGGATCAAACCCTGAGAAGAAAGAGCTCCATGAAACATGTCAATCGACAAAAGAGGAACTCAAATCATAGATTTAGCAGCATCAACTGCTACATTGGTTAAGCAATTAACATATGAGGCTTCACATAGGTTTGTAATTTTTTTAATAAAATGTATCCATAAAGAAAATGAGGGGAAAAAATATTGAAATGATGATGACCGTAATAGTCTTCAAATCTACTATAATATGGAGCAACATAATACCATTCCAAAACTTATTTGGAACAAATCTTGACGTTGTCCTTCCAGCTCATGTATTGAATTAAGGCTTCTCAATAACCATATTGAATTAAGGCAAATAGTGAAAATATTAATGTCTGTCCAAAACAGCATGGTTTCACTTAAATAATTTTAAACGTCGGAAAGAAAGAAAAAGAAGGGAGCAAGGAGAGAGAGAGAGAGATGGGAATCATGCACCTACCCCTTTAAGGGCTAGAGGGATTCACGATGATAGTTCATTCAATAAAATAGATCAACTGTTAATATAAATATGTTGATCACACAAGCCTTAGTTTATATAATCTGTTAAGATCGACTCATTGGTAATTTGATAATAACAAATATTATAATAATGTTTCACTTTATCACTCAGGTACTATCAAAATATTTCAAGAGCTTAAATGAAGATTCTAGAAGATTGAATGCATGATTTGTCCTAACTGTCATAAGGATAATGAATATAAACTAAATTAAATCAGATTTTGCTTATAAATATCCAGAGTACTTTTTCAATATCAGAAAATTATTCCATAGTTTTTTTATATTTTATTCGACATAATTTCTTAATTATATTATTTATTATCAATTAAATATTTATGTGTTAGCAATCTAATTATTGATCATAGGCTAAATTTGCATATTTTATAATCTTAATCACTCAAATATTTAGAAAATTTTTATGATCCTGAGTTACCTACCAATTTCATTTAATTTCTTTCTTTTTCTTTTATATGTAATTATTTATTATTATTTTAATTAGTTAATATAAATAGCATTTTCATTAATAAGGGAATTTACCCATAACTATTATTTTATTAGATTCATTGAAAAGTTGACATACAATTTCATACATAATATCATAAATTTTAAATTTTTAACTAATCAAGTTATGATATCTATAAAGCTGATCATCCCCAAAGTTAGCAAATCTTGGCTAAATTAGTGGTTGACCATTAAGTGGCCGAGAGTAAGGAATCTTTCCATGCCGGTTAACAAGTAGCCCCTAATTGTTAATAACTAACCTCTAACTTTTTCTAATTGTTATTGTTATGTATTTTTCCAATTTTAGAGGTGTGTTTAAGTTCTCTTATGCTCTCTGATATTTAATTTACTCTCTTATATATACTGCACTCATATAACATTAAAATATGAAGCATTTCACTCAAATTAAAAAAGGAGATAAGAAAAGGGATCTCAAGAAAAATCTCTGTGAAAAAGATTCAAATGTTCAACCTTCATCAAAGCTCATTAAGTACACTTCATGTAACATTTTTGTATTAACCTTTTAATTTGTATTTATGTATTTCTTTGTACTATTTTAAAATCATTGTCCAAATTATCGCATTGTTTCCAATTGCTATTCATAATCTAAATCACATCAAAGCCTTGAAAGATTTTGGAAAGGCATATTCTGAAAATTTATTGGCTTAGAAGGGTGACCTTATCACAAAATCAAGTGTAAGATGTTCTAACCCTTCCTTGAGTGCCTTGTGAGCTAAGTGACTGGTAGCGGAATCATAGGTGACTGGGTACAAAGTATTGTATTTCCACAATTTTTAGTGATAGTCAAAATCACCACCACAGCCTTGAAAGATTTTGGAAAGACATGGTCCTAAAATTAAGTGGCTTAGAAGGGCAAGTTTATCAAAAATCAAGTGTAGGATGTTCTTACTCTTCCTTAAGCACCGCTTGTGAGCTAAGTGACCGGTAGTGGAATCATAAGTGACGGGGTGCTCGGATGTTTATAAAAGTTGGGTAGGAAGAAACCCCCCAGATATCATCGTGTCCTGTCTCCTTGTGGCAAGATTTGAATTGCATTTGCATTTAACTTGATTTACATAGATTTGCGAAGACTGAATGATAATGTGACTAAATGCTAATATTATAAAGTTGCATTTGCATTAAATCTCTATAATGTCATAATCATGTGTCACGTTATATCATTATCATCATGGTGCTCAAATCAGATGACTAAGAAACAATTGCGCTTTACATAAGCATCATGGCAATAAATACATTCATTACTAATTTCCTATAAATGCAAAGATGAATCAATGATTTAGAAGATGAGAATTTTATTGAGTAATAAATAAAAATAATAAATAAGGATATTATATTATTATTAGATAATGAAATGAGAAAAAAGATATTCAAGATTGAAAACAGCATAACACAACAAGTTGCACTCCATTAACTTTGCAAAACAAAGAAATTTGGTTGAGAAACGTGTGCAGCTCAGCCTGGAGTAAAAATCGAATATGTAAAAGCAATGCATTGGTATTAACTAATTCTAGCATATAATAATAAAAATGATCGAATTAAATAATATTGAAAGTTTTAAATATATTCAACAGAAAGAGCATCAAAATGAATAACTAAAGTGTGAATGCCAAGCAACTGATCAATTGATTTGATAAAGCATTGATATACCAAAGGAGATTCATGACATGAAATAGTACTCAGTGCTCTCTCTATGCATAAATTTTAGATATATCGAACATCAGTTTAACAAAATCATGTATCAGATGAACCGGGAAGCCATATCAAGCCTTTTTTTCTCCAAAAATTCTCCTCATAGACATCTATTGGCACTCTGCAAGATTTGTTACTCTTGTTATGTTCAATCAATGAATTTTATATTTCCAGTTACATGTCTAGTAGCTCATTCTCCAAACTTAGATATGCTAAAAAAATCCCCTAAACCTCAATTTCGTATCAAACAACATGAGATGAAGAACTAAGCCAACAACGTTTCCATAAATATTTGCCAGACTAACCAGAAAAACTCTCACCCTTGCCTTCAAGCCAAGAAATGTCACTTATAAAAGCAAACCATTGTGTAGATCCAAAGAGGCAGCAGATGCAGACAATGAAATCCAATAAAAGTCCATCAAAAACTGATCTTCCTAATCTCCTTACCACCTACTGCTCATTTATCCCACACTGATCCCCAAAAATCAATCCATCTTCCTCTGCAAAATTACGCTCAATAAAAAAAATGTTTCAGTAAAACTGCACTTCAGTTTAACCCAAATCAGGGGTTCGGTAATAATTAACAGGAAAAGCTTTGAAACACCCTAACCATACAAAAGAACAAACTTTTAAGAAAAAGATAAGGAATTAATCATTAACCCAATGAAAAATACTCTGAATCTTTTTCAAATCAAACTTTCTGGAGATAAATTGGTCAGATTCGAGATTAAATGGAGGGCCAATGTTTCCCATCTATCCTTTAAGCAGACAGACATTCTAGGATAACATAAACAACATTCTAGTCTGCTGCGACGAATCAGTACCCGGTCATCCTCCAAGAAAAGGGGATTTTTAATGCTTCAGTAGGCGTCAAATGGTTTAGAGTTTCCAAATTTCCAACCGCCGACCGGCCGAAGTGATCGCCGGAACGATCGGCTATGCCCTGAGAACTGCGAGCAGTGCAGAGAGTTGAGGCGATCTGCAGAGGGTTGCGCAGTTCAAATTAGGTAATATTGCGAGTTCCAAGACACGCGTAGAATATTTCTTATGGAAAATTTTTCTCCCTGGACTTGGACCGTTGGCAATTTCACTCCAAACAATTCTTGCGAAAGGATTCTTCAAATTCTAATCACATTTTATGATTTTTGAATTAATATTAAAGAAAGCAAGCTTTACATAAATTACCACTAGAGTTTTGTATTTATATTACAAAACACATAAACTTCAATTTTTACATACATGTCATCTTATCTATAAATAAAAATATGTATTTTATTTTTAAAATTACACTGACAATATTTTTTATGTAATATGAATGATTTAAGTGGTATAAATATCGAAAATAAATTTTACACCATAGAATCATGATTTGTTCTTGAATCACCCCAAGAAATAAAGCTTAAGATATGAGGGGGAGAGAAGTGCACAATAATAAATAGTAATCAGTTTTATTGATTAGTCATTTCTCATAAATTGGGAGGTGCGATATGTGAAGTTATATCATTGGTTTGCTTTAATAGGTGTGTTACAGAGTAGTTTATCTATTTTAGATGTATGAGCCTATGATTTGGTTGACCTCTAACTTGATCAGCTCAAATTAGTAGCGTTCGGTAAGGTTTGCTCGTTTGATGTTGTATATGGGTTATTGATTAACCTTTGATGGTCTTCAGGTCGTCAATACTGACTTGATCGACTTGGCTTTACCGATCGGTTATTCTAGTATGATTGTCGATCACTGGTCTCTGAATAAGAACTCTTGTGAGCATAAAGATGATAGGCTACCGAGTAAAGAGTGAATTAATGTAATTCGATTGTTAGTTCATTCATTAAGGATGGAGTCCTTCGAAATGTTTGTAGGTTATATTATTGTCAATTCTTGGCTCCTGATGAGAAATCTCAGCGGCGTCCGTGAGACTGATGATGATATTGAACTCTTTTCTTGAGTTAAGTTATGGCGATATGTAGATCAATGTCTTTGCTTCGCTCGATTAACCTTAGTACTTGGTTTGAATGGTCTACACTTGGGTGACCTCTATCTATAGTTCAACAGGTCACATCTAGTCAAGTGAGTGTGTCCTTTAGTCTCCCGCTAGTGGGCCCTCGTTAGATGCACTCTTTTATCTCATGGACCTTTAGATCTTCTCAAGATTTGTGTTGAAGTATTCTCGATGTATATACTTTAGCTCCTTGATTATCTTATTTCTTTATAACAACAGTTGTGATAAGAATAAGAGAATTAAATGTAGAAATAATTGTCATTTATTTTGTAATCAAAGCTTTAATAATTGAGCTTTTTGAATTTAAGTGCCCATTTCTTATAATTAGTGTGTTACCGACTCCTTTGTTATTTCATACTTTAGTTGCTTCTTTACGGCTAAGTCGGTCAACTTCCAAATGTCTCAATGGCAAACGTTCCACAACTGTTGGGCGAGCTTCTCAATTGGGAAACGATAATGGCCACCTTTGGATTGTCTGAAATGCGGTCTCATTCTAAAGCCAAGAAGAAATCAGAGGGATACAAGAAGTACAAGGGAAAAAGAGGTAAGAGGGAGAAAATAGGCCCAAGTTTCTCCCAAGAGAAATAAAAGTTGCTTTTATGAAACAAGGCAGGTGTGCTGACTACAAAGTAGGGTCATTTGACTCACTTCATAGTTCTCAATGAAGGAAGGATGGGTGGAGATAGAAGCACATTGGATCGTTCGAGCATCAGCTCGTTGGCCCAGCCTCTTGCTATGGCCCATGAAACCAACTTGCTGAGCAACCTGCACATGGGGTCGCCGGCGCTCTCCCCCACCCCGCTCAGTATGGGCCACTACTGGCATCTTGAACTCTCTCACTACAACATTTGGATGGATAGGCTTAGCCTGAGGTTTCTTTCAAAAGCCCCAAGCGACAACCTCCTCCTCTCGCTCGATCTTCTATCATCATAGCAGCTCAAAGTGTTCTAGTCATCTGACCAAACTTCTCTGATTAAAGCACTATGTTGACAATAAATGGATTGGTGTAATATTGTATTGGCAGTTGCCTCCCCACGATCACGACCCCCTCATCCCAAACTCGAGCTTCTTCTTTCCCGTACATGCCCCGTCAAGAAGGTCTGGATTCCCAAACCCTTGGGAGATGAGCCAATGAGAAAGCGCAGCTTTCAATTCTTAACCATATTTTACAAACCAAGCAACTAAAATTTATCGGTCAAACCAAATTGAACATAACCATTCGCGCCAACCCATAATGAAAAAATATAAGCACAAAGTTCTGTTTATCAGGAAACTCTCATCTGATGACAAAAAGTTTTGTTGATCAAGGAACTCCTATCTGATGACAGTAGATGATATATGTCATTATGATATTGATGAAGTTAGGCTTAATATGGGTGAGGATAACACTATAATGGTTGAAAAAAACTCGCAGTTTGTGGCATAAAGGTAGCCGCAGACCATACTTGAGTCTATCTTAATAGAAGACGAGGTCATTCCCAAACCTAACAGTTGCTTGGGCATTCCCTCCCATGACTTAAAGCTCTATGACGGGGTTGAAAATGTATAACTTATACAACCAGACGATGACATAACTAACCTATCATTTGCTACGACCAAATCAAAGAATTGAGGAGAGTATTTGAGATCCATCCAAACAAAAGAACAAAGAGCAGAAAACTGAGAAAAGAGAAGCAAAAGAAAGCCGAGAGTGCCACGCCAAAGCCAACTCTCAACCCTTTTATATAAAATAATATAAGAAGTGGAATCATCACATGATCGTACATTAAAGTTGAGAAGGTACCATCACATCAATACAAAATTCAAGAGAAAAATAAAAAAAAATAATAGTAAAAATTAAATTTTATTATGAAAATATGTGAATTGGGCTTAAAAACTAGTATGAGAGAAAAACTTCACAAGTCGTTTGTTTGTCACTTCGACCTAACAAGCCCTTGTTGAAGCAGTTTTTTATAAAAAATCTCTCCCCAAACTTCAACCTATCTACAAGATCCGTGTCTGCCTGGTTTTGGAGCTTGGATCTTGCAGCTCCAACCACATGGTCGTCAGGTCCTCTTGCAGCCCACATTTCTCTTCCTCACTTTTGATTTTGACAACCTGGGTGTAGGAGCTCTCCATTTGATTTAGACAGCGAGCCAACAATCCAAGGGGCATCCAACGTCCATAAGTTGCTTCTTGGCGGATCTCACGAGGACTAGTTGTGCGGTCAACCATGGCATCCTCGTTCCTGACCGACAATGGGCTGCCTTAAATAGTCCTGAGGTCGGACCATAACCAGCATACCTCGGAGCCAAGTCACCTACCGGTATCGCCTTGACTGCACCAAAAGATAATCTAAGCAAAGATAAAAAAAATTTAACCTCAAAATCTGCTCATACCAAGGAGTTGATCCAACACTGACGATCTAAGCGACACATTGCTCTCACCAAGTGGTGATGGAGTGCTCGCAATTGTGCTCTAGTCAACTAGGGCTGTCAAAAAAGCTTGTTGTTCATGAACAGTTAATGTTTTGTCATCAGGGAATTCATGTTCAGTTCGTTCAAAAAGCAAACAAATCAAACATAAAGTTAAACAAACCAAACAAGAACAGTGATGTGTTCGCTCATGTTCGATTTGTTAATGTTCAAAATATAAAATAATTTAAAATAGTTATTTATAAAAAATTATGATATTTTAAAAATAATTATACATTCTAAAAATTTATCATCTTTTAAATAATGCAAACAAGCCTAAATATTTTTTAATAATTCGAACACTTCAAACAAGTCAAACAGTTTGAATAATTCAAACAATTTGAACTATTGATATAATTCGAACAATTCAAACATTTCAATTAATTCAAACTTATTTCAAACAAATCGAACCGAACACAAACAATAACTTCAACAAACAATTTCGAACACGAGCCTATTTCAAACACAATTACTTTCAAACGAACCGAACACAAACACATGTTATGTACGTTCGTGTTCAATTCATTTACACCCCTATAGTCAACAATAAAGCACAAACAACTTTTTGTGCCTCGGGCGGTGGTGCGCCAACCGCTCCCTATGTAGGTAGTTCAACCAGCTTGTCATAGAACACAACATGAGTTTGAGTCGATGAGTAGGTGCTTAGACCTCTCAATCTACTTCCATCTTCCACATGGTTTTCCCCCCACTAGGGAACTTGAAACGAGTCAGATGACCACACTTCGTCCGTCAGCTCGCCTGCCTTTTGTTTCTTAGAAATAAGTTTTTTTTCTTTCTCTTTTTTACCTCTGGCCTCCTCTCTTCCTTTGGTTTTTTTCTTTGCCTTTAGGCAGGACCACATTGCAGATAGTCTGAAGGCAACCATCATCATTTCTTTAGTGAGGATTTCACCCAAAGGTTTCAGTTGTTTAACATGGAGATGTTCGGAAGCTGGCTGACTCAGACATAGTGGCACAAAGCAAATATTTAATAAAAAAGAAGTCTGGTCACACCTTATTTATAAGAATCATGGGCACAAAAACCCAGAAAATTCAATTATTGAAGTTTTGATTATGACATAAATGATATCTACTTTTACATTTAATTCTTTTATTATAATCGTAGTCGTCGCTTTCAAGAACTAAGAGAATCGTTGAGCTAAAATATGTACAACGGGAATGGGAAACATGAATCTTGAGGAGATTCAACAATCCAGGAGACAAAAAAGTACAACTAAGGAAGATCGTTGGCAAAAAACCAAATAACCTATCTACAGAGCCAGATGTGACCCTCTGAATCGTGGTTAAAGGCCAACGGGATGTAGACTACCCGAACTAAGGACTAAGGCTAATCGAGTCGAGGAAATGCTTCTACCAACCTATCATTGCAACCTTGTTGAGGGAATGTGTTCAATATTACCGACAGTCTCATGGATGCTCCTGAAGTTTCTCATTAGAGGCAAACAATCAACAATAACATAGCCCACAAACATCCTGAAGAACCATCTTGTCAATGAATGAGATCTTTATGAAGTTACAATGATTCACGATCTTCACAATAACAGTCTTGTTCTGCCACAGAAGCTCTTCATTCGGGGATCGACAATCGACAATCAGACTAGAACAACTGATTAGCAAAACCAATAGATCGAGCCAACCTTTCCGACCTAAAGACCATCAAAGGCTAACTGACAACCACGATTGAGCATAGTGGAACGAGCAGGCCTTGCGAACTAAGACTCACTGAGTTCAATCGACTGAGTCAGAGGGTGGCCGAGTCATAGGCCATATACGTAAAATACCTAAAATATCTTGTAACACCCTCATTAAAGCAGAAACAAATATGTAACTTCACATATTGTACCTCTCATCTATAAATAGGAGATATTTTTTAAGAAAGGACTAATTTATAAGACTGGTTACTGTTCATTATTGTGTAATTATCTCTCTGTCATTCTCTCTCTCATGTCTTACACTCTAACTTTTGAGTTGTAATTCACAGACATATCAATATTCAACAGCCTAAATGCTATGGTGAGCGTAGATTATGTCATATACAATAAGATGAACAATACAATGAGAGAAAACCACAACAGAGATATCAGTAACATGGAGTGCCCTAGGGAGTTTTCACAACATAAAATCCACGAGCTGAAAGAGTAGATGAAGGATGCCCTCTGGGAGAGATTGGCTCGAGGAAGGGATAACACCCACACTTATTGGTGCCATCGAGAGAATTTTTTGTGTGGGGTGTATTAATGATGGAGAGCAAGGAATGCGAAGAAGTATGGGAACACATTTAGCACCCCAACGGTTTTGACTTCCATTGTTCTCTCTTCCCTTACGCAAATGCCATTTTCCTCATCAGGGAGCAATGGGACACCTCTGAGCCGAATTGGCTGCTCTTCATTTCGCATCTTACCGGTTGGATTAAGGCTAACTTTGACAAGGCATTTCTCCCCAACTCCCAAGCCGGGCTTGGGGTGGTGTTTCGTGATGAGGAAGGTAATATTGTATCTGCTGTTGGTCGTGCCTTTCTACACTGGGATAGCTCGTTTGTTAAATTTGAGGCGGTCTCCTTTCTTAATATGTTTGGTGCAGTCGTGATATTGGAAATAAAATGACTAATTATTGAAGGAGACAATGAAACGATAATTAATCATTTCTTAGATTGCATGGAGGTCAAGATTGGACGACAATTCTCTTTAGAGGAGCAGTCTTTCACCCTTTTTTTTTTAATTTCAGCAAGTCATTTTCCATTTTATACATAGAGGTTGTAACAACACGGCCCATTTTTATGCTGGGCTTGCTTTAGATAAATTTTTTTTTTTTTTTTTGCTCACAATTATGACTCTAATTTTGAATTTAAGCAAGTCATTTTCCATTTTATACATAGGGGTTGTAACAACACGGCCCTTTTTTATGCTGGGCTTGCTTTAGATAAATCTTTTTTTTTTTTTGCTCACAATTATGACTCTAATTTTTTGAGAACAACCATTCTACTTCTTTTATATAGCTTTTATAGCTATTTTTTGTACTTTTTGTTTTTACAACCATTCTACTTCTTTTATAGAGCTTTTATAGCTATTTTTTGTACTTTTTGTTTTAGTTATAATGTAAAATGCACACCTTTTAAGAAGGGCACCCTTACTCTTGGGAAGGGAAATAGATTCCCAACACTTAGATTGTACCGGGTTGGCGTCGATGGAAATATATCGATTCGAATGCAATGAGGCCTGAGGCATCCCACCAGCCGAAGAACACGTTCTCTCGGCAGATTTTTGAGGTTGAGCCCCCAGAGAGATTCAAAATCCCTCATTGGAATCCTACAAGGGTCAGACTGTCCAACCGACATAGCCTCCTTCGAGTCGGCCGTATGCTCGCTGAGGATCACCGAGGCAAGATAGTGATACATAATTAAAATTTGAAATTTATGTGTTGGACATGTAAATACATATAAATCATATGTGCAATGTTTTTAATTTGAGATATGGCAGAAACCGTCCAATCGTCTCAACAGTTATATTATTTCTTAATCAATGGCTAATAACCCTCTATCAAGATATGATAACAGCGAAACGCCACACGTGCCAGCGAACCTCTCCATCTCCCTCTCACACCCTCTCACACGTGGGATTCGCCCGTGCAGATTGCCAGCCTCAAAATATTATAACCACCACCCATTTTAATTCCAAATTTCCAATTATATAGATATATATATATATATAGATATAGATATGAGGGGGCAATATGTATATTTATATGAATAAATATTTATATTGATAATTGTCAATAAAACAAGCATTCAAATCCTCATACATATTAATATCTCCCAACCGCTCTCTCAATCCATCGTCTTTATATATGGTAAGGTGATTTAGGGTTTGCTCTCACCCTCGTATAATGGTAATTTTATTTATGTATTTTTTTTTGTAAGGAAAAATGTTTATTTCGTCTCCGTCTTGAAAAAGTCTGTAAGTTTGTAAGATGTATTGCACTGACTATGTCTTTATTATATTAAGGTTTATGATTCCCATTGCTTTCTTTTATATATATTTTGTGATTCCATCCATGGTGGTTAAGAATCGTACTGTTTATTTGATTAATAAGGATTTATGGATTTGGGGTTGATTAATGGAGCGGTTGGGGGCTGTAGAAAAGGGGTTGGAGGGGTTATTTGTTGCTCCGTTGTCTGTTTCTAGGGCTACGGGGATGGGTTTGGGATTTGTTAATCGTGTCGCTTTCTTCTTACCTCTCCGGAAATGGGGAAATATATTTCCAGATTCTGTTTTGGATGCTCTGTGATCCTTTTTTTGCATTCCAATTTGGGGAGTTTAATGCTGCTTTTTGGCTATTGAGATTGTTAAGATGGATGAATTGAGAAATGGTTTTATTTTAGATGGATGATGAAAGTAATACCTTTTTAGGATAATTTGGTTGAAATAGAATTAAGTGATTTAGATTTTTGCAATGGAGATAAGAAATAGAGCCATTAGCTTGCCAGATAAAATTAGTTGAACGAGATTAATAGTAGATTTAGGCTGGTAATGATATCTTTCGGCTATCAATTTCTTTGAATTTTTTTTTTCCTTTTTCTCTTTTTGATTCATAAATATTGAAGTTTGAATCGTTGGTTTGCAGATAGATATTTGAAGGCGTATTGGGGGGAAGAAGATGGTGGCTGCGGAAGACAGAGAAACAGAGGATGTTGCTGTTGCTCCCAATAAAGAGGAGCTACAGGCACCGAAACCTAGTTCTAGACAGGCAGGAGATGAGATTGGAAACAATTCCAACTATCAGGCCTATCCTGAAGCATTAGCCAGCTACCAAGATGTTGTTGAGAGTAAAAAATTATTTATGGAATCACTTGAGAAGTTACATCGCGCAATGGGAACCAAGTTTATGTGAGCTTTTATTTTTTTTTTTTCAATTAGTTATGATTTCTTTATTTTTGAAGTAACATCTTCTAGTTGCTTTTTCATCTGGTGGAGATTTGAGGTTATGATTTTGCAATTCTAAACTAATTCATTTGTAAAGCTCTTTGAATTTACTTGCCATTTTTGTAAAAATACACAATATATGAGTTAAAGTTGGAAATTATTCTTTTTTTGCAAGAGACCCTTTGGCAAAAGTGTTCGATATATTCATTTGTGGTCAATGGCTGAACCAAAACATAATCATTCTTTTGTTTTTGGTAGTTTTTTACCCTTTTGGTATCTCCAAGGTAAAAATTGAAGCATTTTTGGTTCTATGAGCTAAAGTATATGCACTACTAATTAGCCTTAACAAAGTAATTGTAGTCAAATTGGTTATGGTTGCTTTGCATGGGTTATATAAATTGTTGTAATTGCTATAAAGTGCTTTAGATGGACGAAATTCAATTTTTGTGACTAAACTTTATCCCATATACTTTAATCTTTCTTTAATATCTATTACGCTTAATTTTCTAATCCCGAGTTTATAACTTTTTTTTTTTTACTTATATATTTGATCTTAGTTTTGTCGGATGAAGAAGTATGAAATCATTTTTTTGTTTTCTTATGAAGTTCTGAATGAATCAAAATATTATTTAAGAAACATCAGCATAGTTTTCTTCTAAAACGTCTAACTTATCACTATTTGGCCTGTTTAGATTTCTCGTGTTGTTTGAATTGCAATATCAACTACTTAGAAGATCATGCCTCTTGTTATATTTTCTTGATATATTTGTGAATTTTCTTTAATATTTTTATTAGGATCCCCACTATTGGAGGAAAGGAGCTTGATCTACATCAGCTTTTCATGGAGGTTACATCTCGAGGTGGTATTGAAAAGGTATCACATAAAAATCATCAAGAACTGCATTATTTATTTCATGATGAATATTTAGCTATTTTGCATGCTATTTTGTTTTTATGTTTAAAATATTTAAAAAAGAGTGTACTCTCTCATGCACAACTTATTTCTTTGCTGATAAATTTATTAATTTGAACTTTATAAAATTTTCTTGATTATTGGAGCTCTATCTGTAGATATTATTGAAATATGAAATTTTTTTTGCTTCTTTCTTATATTTCATGTCATTAGTCAACAATTGCTTTGCGACATTGTATATTTCATTTTCATTCTCATTTTTCTTTGTAAATTTTAGCATATGAAACTTGTTCTTTTTTGACATCCTTTAAGTTTATTACTTGTTCATATAACATGGAATCCCAAAATTGTTTGTAAGAAGGTGAAGTGCATATGAACAACAAAGTTTGATCTTTACCATCAAAAATGATATCAATATTCCTTAAATATAAAATGATGGAACTAAACTCTAGATACGATTTAATAGGCATATCGTTATGCATTTGAAGCAAATGACCTCAAATTTTTTGCTAGAGTTTGTTTGAGAGTTTTTTTTTCTTCTATAAAGACTCCAAGGGGTTTGTTTGCTGAAAAAGGAGTGCACTTCATTCCTTTTGTAGGAGTTTCAAAAATTAAGTTCGATGAATTCTAAATGAATGGTATAATTACATGCTTTTGAAATTCATTTTCTAATTCAATTTCAATTCATTTGGAATTCGTTAGATTTGCATGAATTCCAAATACACCGCTTTGTATTTGTTGCTTGCTGTCCCCAACTACTGTTGCTTGCCCAACAGTTGTCTGTGTTATCGGCTGCCCTAGCTTGACTACTGCTTTTGCTATCGACAGCCGTTGCTAAACCTCCGCCGCCGCCCACCACAGCCCACTTGCCTACCGTCAACCTCCCATCGCCCGCCGCCCATAATTACATATTTAATAGTGATTTTTTTCTTCATATCAAACAAGAAAATATGAATTGCTACATTATTTTACACTGAACCAACAAAGTTTAAAATATTTCAAATACATTACATTATTTTTACACTTCATTCCTTTTTCAACAAACCAAACAACCTCTAATGGAGCCATAATTTTTTTGTGATTATTTGCTCCATAAAACACAATTGAATTTTCAAGAGAGTGTTCGCATCCATCTATGTTGTCTTCTTCACTCGTGGTTTCAGGCATCAAGGTATTCCCTATGAGCGTGCCCCCACACATCCTTGTCGAACTAGTGCACCACGTATATTATTTCTCCTCTAAACACTTTGAGCTATCAAACTTCCTGATTTAGAACTTCATGGTCATCATATTCCTCTTAAACATGTGTTCAACTACTAATTATTAGGAACAATAATACACCTAAGTTTATGCTACTACAACATCAGTCTATAAACACATGTGATGAACCACAAAATAATTACAAAAGAGTTTAAGTGCCAAAAAAAGAGAATACCTAAATTTATATGTTTCAGCTAATGTAAAACTACATCCACAAAAGAAAAGAAGGGATTTGATCTATTAACAAGAAAGTTATATTCATGGTGTAAAATACATGGATACTTATTAGATTTTCCCAAAACCCGAGTACACCTATGCTCAAAAAAGTAATATAGAAACCTATATCTCTTAAGTCAAATAAGAGAAAGCAACTTAAGAGAAATAATAAAAAAAGAGGATTAAAAAAATTCTAGAAAATTGCACAGGCCAATTGTGTTTTGCAGAGCAAATAATCACAAGTTGAACTTCTAAAAATTTAAAGACGACACCATATGTATATCTTGATGATACTTCAAACTTCTAAAATGAACTTCTTGTGGTTTTCTTATGATTTAATGTCAATTAGTTTTTTTATGAATCAACTTATATAACCACCAACTCATAAAAAAGTAAATTAACTTTTTTAAAATTATCTAGTACATTTTTAAGCTTTCACACAACAAGCTTGATAAATATATCATCCTGTGATTCATGCATGAATATCATGCCAATAGCTAAAAATCACCTTACAATTTTCAAGTTTTCGCATCAAAGGCTTGCAATCTACCTCACGATGTGATTCAGCATGATATAAAGAATACCTAAAACAAACAAATCACTTTAATTATAGCTTGGAAATGAGCGTTGGTTATGTGCGTTGTATTTCTAAAAGATGTTAATTTAGCAAACACATCTTAAGCAGCATAACCTGAAAAATTTCCACTAAATTACCTTCATATTATGCAAAGCAACTCTTATCTTTATGAATAAATTTATTGATCTTTTGTGAAGATCCTGAAGCACTAGTAGTTTTTAGTAAGTATGATAAGGTTAAATATGTTCATTTGACCATAGTTTTAGCAAAGCAAGTTATATGTACGATCAATGATCAGGGAAACTTTATCTATAGTGAGTTGTTTTTACATAGAATATAGATATTCAGTTATATGATCAAAATGTCAGCTGCTGGATTTCGTTTTAAATGAAGTTGATCCTATAAAAGAGCTATTTTATGTTCTTGCTTTGAGTTGAAAAAAAAATTTCTTTTCGGGCTCTTTTTTTTTTTTTGTAAAAAGAAAATTCATTTTTGAAAATAATAATTTCACCTTCAATCATTTTTGTGCAAAATGCATAGCATTACATTTGAGAAAATTTGAGAAACATAAAATTAGTGCTGATTTTAACTGCATCCAAACATCAGATAGATATACACTATTTTATGGTTTTTCAAAACATGTTTTCCATCTTCAGAGGATCAAATGGGCCCTTTGATTCTTGGGTTTGATGCATTTATTTTAATCTTATCATATATAAAGAAATCTCTTTCAATCGCATAAGCTTAATTCTTTGAAACAGACAAACAGTAAACCACTGCATACCGAATGAAATTTAAGTTTGTTGCTAGTTTCAAGTTCGCATTCTGGAACTTGGATATAGTTGGTTATTATTTTAGCACAACTATCAGATGAGAGTTGATAATGATTCTGTGTGGTCTTTTAAGCATGCTTGTGAACACTAAAACTTTTAGATACCCCATTTTATATGTATATAGGTTTGAATTCACAACGCAACATTTCGGTGTTCATTTTCTTAAAATTTTAATTTATAGTTTTGAGTGTTCGGTGAAGAATGCTGTTTGCATTTGAAATACATTTTATATTAATGCTTCAAAAACTATTGTAAATCAAACCTTTTATCTATTTTCCAATTTAAATTTTATTTTAGAGAAATATAAGCGCAATGCCATACAAAATTTTAAACGCATGAATAGGAAGGGTGAATATAGTTTCTTTAGACGAGACTTATTTTGGAATTGTTTGCATGATTACAATATTGAAGGTTATTAATTTAGAGCTGTCTAAAATTTCTGGTTTATATTTCATTTCCATTAATTTTGAGCACCCAAAAAACTAATTTATGCTCATGACTATCCGGCTCTCTAAAAGAAAGTTAATTCTGTTAAAAAAAGCGTAGTGGTAAATTTGCTTATGTAGTGATGAGGATGCCAAATAACTAGGATCAAGAATAATGTGCCCCCAAGTAAACACAACACAGAGAAGACACATATTTACATGGACTTACACCATTGTTGGGACTAAGAAGCCCGGTAAAAATGACAATCACGGCATACAAAACAAGTACATTTGTCATCCTTTCTTAAATCCTCATCATGCCCACCAAATAATGTCTCAACGATTACTTCTCACCCTGAAACCAATTACCAAGATGAACTCGACTCGAACAATTGCTATTGTCATTTGTTAATGATATAATCCTTTAGTCACCATTGCTAATGACACTCAATTTTATGCACTCGGTCGTGTCCATAAATATTAAGATGATGGACACCTCCATGATAATCAACTTCATTAAGCTCTACCAGTTTAACTCACCATGTTTAGCATGCTTGGGAAATGCTAAAATCTGATGTCCAGTGATGAGTTCTATTGCTAATTTTTTGTGTTATCACTGTGAAAGTTGGGTTAAAATTAAATTATTTTGAAGGATTGCTCAACAAATAAACTTGACGACCCTCACGTGGTAGTCAACATGACTGCTGAATTTGATGGAAATTTTTTAATTCGGGATGATTACACCAACCTTGTCAATATTTTATGTTACTTAGACATAAATTCTTGGATTATTGAAGAAGCTTAATTTTTATATTATAGGAATGTTGAATTCGAGATGATTACACCAACCTTGCCAATATTATATGTTACTTAGACACAAATTCTTGGATTTTTTAAAAAGCTTGATTTTTATATTATAGGAATGTTGTTTTTAGATTCTATCACAATTCTTGCCTCCCCTTTCACACTTATCATTAAATAAGTGCCTATCCAATGTGCTTATAATGAAGATGGACCATAGGATATTCTCAATTTCTTTCAGAAATGTTGCTTGGTGGTTACTAGGCACATCGGTGCCCAACAAGATCAGGCTAGATGCTTTCAATTCTTGTTGCATGTTGTGAAGCTTTAGCTCGGGGATTTAGCCCTGAAAAGCGAGAGGACTAGAGGCTTGTATATAGGGCTGTCAAAACGGCTCGTTGTTCGCGAACAGCTCATGTTCGGCTCGTTAAGAAGCTCGTGTTCGGCTCGTTAATTTCGTTCGATAAGTTAACGAACTGAACACGAACTAAGATGTGCTCGTTCGTGTTCGACTCGTTTTGGCTCCAAATACTACTCATCAAGTATATATATATACTCATCAAGTTTATATATATATATATATAAAGTAGTATTTTTAAAAAATCTAATTGACTACAAGGCTACAAAAACTTATAATAAATTAAAATATTAATTAAGAAAATAGAATAAAAATTATTAAATTAGATTCAAATGATGTTTTAATATAAATAATAATTTTTAAAGCTTGCTCAAATCCTTATATCTTATGGCTACATGATTAAGGGTTGTTAAAAGGACTCTTTGTTCGTGAACAGCTCGTGTTCGACTCGTTAAGCAAACGAGCCGCACACAAACACACTTTTTTAGCTC